CGACCCATGAAAGTTTTATCTGATGTTATGAAGCTTTAACTTAAATTCTTATTAGAAAAATTATCGTACTTTGCCTAATATTTTTTTTAATAATCAATTTCAGAGAAAATAATGTTTTAACTGGTTTTGAACCTTATTGCATATATGCGCGTATTTAAATGCGAGTTCTGATAAATATGAGAATTAAAGGCATATGCCTGTTTTACTGCCTGCCCGGTCATAAACATTGTTCCAAGGTTAATATTCACACAATTTCCCTGGTTTGGCTAAATTGTGTCTAGAGACACTAACCTTCCTTTCAACACCTTGGCTACTATATATAATCTAAGGCGCAACTAGGATGTTTAAAGGGGGGGGGGGCTGAAAAGTGTTATTAACGAAAAAAATCTTATTGCAGTTTTGAGAAATTTTAGCTCCCCCTTTGCCAATGTTTTTGGTCCTGTTTTTTTCTCTTTTCAATTTACTGTCGTTCCTTTATTTAAATTAACCAAATTCTATCCATTTCTTGTCGTTAATCGTTAATATTGGTTTTTATTCAAATAAACTTTTAACGGTACAGTAACGCTCTCTATTTCCATTCTTTAAACTTTCGTTAATTTGTGATTTTTTTCAATATCTTGAAGTAACTATAGCGTCGAAACTTTTAGATATTTATCAATATCATAATTTTTAATGGGGTCACTTTAAAGACATAAATCTATGCAAGTAATCCCCCCCCCCACCCACACACACACATGCAGACACTCATGCAAGTAAGCATGCAACACAAGCATTGTAATGCTATAATGCATGCTTTTCAAGGTTAAAGAAACTCCATTGTTCACCATTCAAACTTATGTCTATATTTCAAGTCTAAATGATATGCTTATATGATTCCTATTCCCATTTCTGTTTGGTCTTACGAATAATGAAATTTATGGGGAAAACCAGATTTTTTAAAACTTTTCAATGTTGTTTGTAATGTCGAACTTATCGAAAACCTGTCGTCATTACGTCGAAATTTTGGACACTTTGTTTAAAATTACGAACATTTTGTTTTTAATACCGAACATTTTGTTCTTAATAACGAACATTTTGTTCTTAATTGCGAACATTTTGTTCAAAATTATGAATATTTTGATCAAAATTGCAAATATTTTGCCCAGAATCATCAATATTTTGTTCAAAATTATCAATATTTTGTTCAAAATTACGAAGTTTTTGTTCGAAATGACAAGCATTTAGTTAAAATTACTACTTTTTGTTCGAAATTAAGAACATTTTGGTTAAAATTAAAAAAACATTTTGGTTAAAATTAAAAAACATTTTGGTCAAAATTAAGAACACTTTTGGCAAAATTAAGAACATTTTGTTCAAAAAACCAACATTTTGGTAAAAAATTACAAACTTTTTGTTCGAAATTACGAATGTTTTGGACAAAATTATGAACATTTTTTGTCAAAATTAGAAGCGTTTGCTCGAAATTACGAACGTTTTTTCGAATTTAAGAACAGAATGTTAGGCATTTAAAAACTTGTGATAGTTATCCCTTTCATTTTTTTCAGATTTCATTTGGAAAAATTTCAGCTGAAGGCCTCGAATTTCAAAAACACGAGGAGGAGGGGGGAGATAAAATGAGGAAAATGATGACTAATAGAAAAATACTCACCATTTTCTACAACTCATCCTCTTCCAATTAAAATTGAAACATTCGTTAAGTAATCTTTAAACAATGACAATCAACATTTTGATGTGTCAAATCGTTTAAGCTCTTTTTCTAAAAGCGAGCCCATGAAAAATATTCTTGAAAAGTTCAAAATTAAAGTCATGAATTTCAGAAAAAGCAAAAAGTCGCTAATATCAAAATATATTGTCAGAAAAAAAATTTTAAACCGGTTTATTAGCACTCTCGTAAACATTTTAAAAGCCTAAAAGAACGTTCTGAAAACAGCTTAATATTTTAAACTAAAGTGCGTCTTATAAAGCAATTAAAGATCTGAAGAAGAAATAGAGGAAAAGTTTATAAAAAGCAATTTCGAATACATTCCCTTTAAACAAACTTAAACATTTGGCATAAAGGTCCTTTAAACAATAGTTTAATATGTTAAATGTCGTACACAGTCCCTTTGAACAAGTCTTAGAAATATAGTGCACAGTCCCTTTAAAGAAGATTGACTGAAGCTAGGTGACCCAGTTCATGAACTCTTTTCTATTTATACTTCTTCCGGTAGAGCAAAGATAACAGAACTCGTAAACTCATTAAAGAGACTGTATGCGATATTTCCAAGATTTGTTAATGATATTGTATGCGATATTTCCTAGATTTCCTTAAAGGGACTGTATGCGATATTTCCTAGATTTCCTTACAGGGACTGTATGCGATATTTCCTAGATTTCCTTAAAGAGGCTGTATGCAATGTTATCTAGATTTCATTAAAGGGATTGTATGCGATATTTCCTAGATTTCCATACAGGGACTGTATGCGGTGTTTTATAGATTTCATTAAAGGGACTGTATGCGTTATTTCCTAGATTTTTTAAGGGACTGTATATGATGTTTCCTAGATTTTATTAAAGGGACTGTATGCTATATTTCCTAGATTTCATTAAAGGGACTGTATGCGATATTTCCTAGATTTCATTAAAGGGACTGTATGCGATATTTCCTATATTTCATTAAAGGGACTGTATGCATTATTTCCTAGATTTTTGAAGGGACTGTATATGATATTTCCTAGATTTCATTAAAGGGACTGTATGCGTTATTTCCTAGATTTTTGAAGGGACTGTATATGATGTTTCCTAGATTTTATTAAAGGAACTGTATGCTATATTTCCTAGATTTCATTAAAGGGACTGTATGCGATATTTCCTAGATTAAAAGGACTGTATGCGATATTTCCTAGATTTCATTAAAGGGACTGTATGCGATATTTCCTAGATTTCATTAAAGGGACTGTTTACGATGTTTCCTAGATTTGCTTGAATGGGATGTTTTCAAACGACATTTCAACTTTGAAAAAAATTCTTTATGCTAAATTACTATTTCAATGTATCAGATTTATTGCTAAACATCAGTTTTATCGCTAAAAATCAGATTTATTGCTAAAAATCAGTTTTATTGCTTAAAATCAGTTTTATCGCTAAAAATCAGATTTATTGCTAAACATCAGATTTATTGCTAAAAATCAGTTTTATCGCTAAAAATCAGATTTATTGCTAAAAATCAGTTGTATTGCTAAAAATCAGTTTTATCACTAAAAATCAGATTTATTGCTAAAAATCTGATTTATTGCTAAAAATCAGTTTTATTGCTAAAAATCAGTTTTATCGCTAAAAATCAGATTTATTGCTAAAAATCAGTTTTTTCGCTAAAAATCAGATTTATTGCTAAAAATCAGTTTTATTGCTAAAAATAAGTTTTATTGCTGAAAATCAGTGCTATTGCTAAAAATCAGTTTTATTGCTAAAAATCAGTTTCATTGCTAAAAATCAGTTTTATTGCAATAAAACTTATTTTTAAAATATAAAAACTTGGATATTGCCCCCTTTCGGAGACTAATACTCAATATTCACCATTTGGACCGGGGTTATTTTATGCACAATTGATTATACTTAAATTTCTTTGTTTTGATTTAAACAAAGCCAATTGTTTAATAAAATTGATGGAAAATTAAACTTTTTTAAGTTGTTAAATTTGTGATTTAGAATTGGCGCGGTTCATTGTTCACAAGGGAAAATAAGTGAACCCTGGAGTTTTTGTTCACATAGGGTTCTAGGTCATTCCCCCCACTCACCCCCCACCGGCCTTCCATTTTTAATTCTTTGGGAAAAAGGGACTGTAAGCTTAATTTTAAGTGACCCTCTATGCAAAGATGGCAATGGCCGATTCACAACGGTACCCTTGAAAAATTAATATGTGAACAGTAATATCTAATTCATACGTGATCAGACAAAGCTTTTAAGGGTACTATTGTGAATCGGGAATTCCTATTCATACATGGAGGGTCACTTGAAATAGCGCACACAGTCCCTTATTTGTTCTAGTTTTTATTTTCTTTTCAATCTTTTTGAACTCGCTTATGCAAAAAATTGAATGCATCAAATGTTTTAAGCACAAGCTTTTACAATATTCTCTTTGTTTCTTGCTAAATTTTTAAAAAGCTCAATTTTTTTCGAGGAAGGATCTTTTATTTATTTTCGGTCTCTCCCAATATTTCTTCAGAATTTTTCCAAAAAAATTCTTAAGAAACCATATTTAAAATAAAATCTCGGCCTCAAATCATTTGGACAAAATGTACTTATTTTTGTTGTTTTTGATATTTGTGTTGTTGCTCCTGGGCTGCGGTGCGGCAGGTTGAACGGAAATGAGTTTGTAGCGCAAATATTCGGAGAAATCATTCGTCTTATTCTGGAGGTTGGGGTAGGAGGAGGGGATTAGAGGCTAAACAACGTAGAAAACGAATATCAGAGCTCACGTGTTCAGATCATGGAAAGTTTTATATTTTAAAATTCATGTTGTATAAAGCTGCGATTTATGTATTATGTTATTAATGTGCGTCCTGAATGCGTGCCTTGAATGAACGTCCTAAATGTGCGTCTTGAATGTACGTCCTGAATTTGTGCGTCCTGAATGTACGTCCTCAATAGCTCGTCCTACTTGTGCATGCATCCTTTATTTGTGTCCTAAATAGCTCGTCCTGAATGTGCGTCCATATTGTTCATCCTCAATGTGCTTCTTCAATGTACGTCCTCAATGTGTGTCCTTAATGTGTGTCCTCAATGTGCGTCCTCAATGTGTGTCCTCAATATACGTCTTCAATTTGTGTCCTCAATAGCTCGTCCTGAATGTGCGTCCGTGATGTTCGTTCTTGGAATATAGGTCTTAAATTTCGTCTTCCATAAATGCTGATGTTTTCCAACAGAAGAAACTAAAATAAGGAATGTATAGTCCCATATTACTTAACACCTTTAGGTACACAAATTTAATGAAAAAATACTAAAAGTTATTTGTTTTTCAGGTGATAGATTTTGGATCAAGTTGTTACGAGCACCAGCGAGTTTACACCTATATCCAGAGTAGGTTCTACAGAGCCCCTGAAGTTATCTTGGGGGCTAAATACGGGATGCCCATTGATATGTGGTCATTAGGTCAGTTTATTTTTATAAACTTTAATAAAAAAAAATAAAAATGTATTCATATTCATGCAAAAGTTTTATTTCCAAAGCTAAAATTTAACATTGAAATTATCATCAGTTGATTATTTCAAATTAAAAAAATAATGTACACTGTACAGGAATAAAGTTTTACTCGTGCATATGAAAATTTTAAAAAAGTATTTCTTTTTTCTATATTTTGAAAGGTAGTGTTAAAACTTTCAGGCATAAGTTTTTCTAAAATTCTTTGTTTTTGATCTAAAATATTTTTTAAACTGAAGGAAGTGCAGACCTTTTAATATTTATGATATTAAGTTGTTTTTATTGGGTATATAAAATAAATATTTCATTCATCTGAATACATCTTAAATGAATATAGTTTAAAATTGTTTTTTTATTATCATGAATGTAAACATACAAAAATGTAGCTACAAAATAATATTTAATATTTTTAAAATAATCAACAAATTTACTCGAAATAGAAAAAGTAATATTTGACTTAAACCATTAAATACAATTTCTGAAATGCTACAAAAATGACTGCAAATAAAAAAATTATGACTAATTTAAACAAAACATAAATATTTTATTTCTGAATATCTGTAGAAAGGAATGAGTAAGAGAGATGTCTAGAATGATCTATCCATTCTCTGTGAAAAGTTTTATGACTAATATGATTATTATAATCACAGAATCCATCTTTACCGTCACCTCTGTTCATTAATCCAACTCCTTTCTTCTTCCTTTCATCCTCTTTTTCCTTTCTTCTTACTTTCGCCCTCTTTTTCCTTTCCTCGTTTCCCCCTGCTTTTCTCCCTTTTAAGTTATATTTCCCCCCCTTCCTTTTTCCGTAGTTTCTGTTCCATTTCTGATCCATAACTTTTTCCTTTTATTTCCCCTCGCCCTTACTTCCTTCCACTCCTCCATTTCCCTTTCCTTTATCATTTTCCTAAATCCTTCCCCTATCCCCCCTAGTTTAAACATGCACTAAGATAATACTAACACATATATATATAATATATATTTATATATATTATATGTATAATCCCTCCAACCCCTGATCTAAGAAGTGTCCTTGCTAACCTTGGATTTGCTGAAATGACATAATACAGCTGATGGAACTAATGAACCCTTGAGGAATACTAATTCTTCTACAATAATATTTAGTAGAAGAAAATACTCTACAGAATCTACAATCTATACATTATAAGACTTTAAACTAGGGTATCTCTTTTTGTCTCCGAATTGATACATCTCTATCTCTAAATAGGCACATCCAATTCGTTTCCTTTTAGCCATGGCTATGATTGGCATATTCCTTTCTGCCTCTGAATTAGGATATCTCTTTTTGTCTCCGAATTGATACATCTCTTTATCTCTAAATATGCACATCCAATTCTGTCTACGTATTGGATTAATTATCTGTCTCTTATTGGCGGACTTTCCTTTTAGCCACTTTCTGCCTCTGAATTGGGACATCCAAATGGAGACATCCCTTTCTCCCTCCGAATTGGGACATACCTCTCATTGGGCAATTTCTTTTAACCCATGGATAGATGCATATTTTTCTGCCTCCAAATTGGAACATTTCTTTGATCTCCATTTCTTCCTCCGAAATGGGACAGTTCTTTTAGCCCTTAGATTTAAACATCCTTTTTTGTCTCTGAATCGGGACATCACTTGTTAGTAAATTGGGACATTTTTTTTAGTTGTACAGACTTTCAAACACTTCAGGTTGTAAAAACCTCCATCCACTGAAAGAATAAAAGTTGTTCTAAAGATAGAAAACTTTATCCTCACAAAACTTCTGGTTCAGTTCAGACCTAGCATATGTTGATAATCTTAGATCTTAGACATCTATATATATACATATATTTTACTTTTTCAACAGTTTAGGGACAATGATAAATAAAAAATCATGATCTTTTCAAAAGGTTTCCAAGTACAAAAATTGCACAAATATCTTAAAATTTAATTTTGCATATATTTTTTGAAAATGCTATATTTCTAAAATTAATTGTTCTTCCTCAACTCTGGGTAATTTATAAAAATATATTATATAATGTTTTAAAATACAAAAGAAATAGAAAGTAATTTTTATGAAATCTTTTTTATATTGGAAAATATTAAGAATTGTTTTTTTTTTCAAGAATGATAATTTTCTCGTTATCGTGGATGATTATAATCTTGATAATGTGTAAATATCGGAAGGGTCTTAAGTGCATATTAATTTTTCTAAAGTATTTTTAGTTAATATATTAAATATTACAAATTTCTAAGAATCATTATTTTGTCCTAACACAGAATAAATGTTATCTTTCCATTATAAGAATTAGAACAATTCTCTCAAAATTTAAAAATGTTTTTTTAAAAAAAATATTTATTTTTTCTACTTTTTAGGTTGTATACTTTGTGAGCTGTTGACAGGGTACCCTTTACTGCCTGGAGAAGATGAAGGTACGAAATTCTTTTATTGATTTATTACTTTTTGGACAAAACAAAGTTATGCGACTTTTCCACTTCTTTTTGAGGAAATAATTCTAGGAATTGAATTTCATAATTCGGTTCCTAGACCAAATAAATTGTAAAATTGATTCCTTCTTGATTTAACTCTTGCAAGAGTAAAAACAAACCTAAGAAAGTATGTTCTTATCATTTTCTTAAAGCGCATTGCCTCTGAAAATTTGATAAAGAATTTTTCTAAATTTTATAATAATTCAGGGGATCAGTTGTCGTGTATAATAGAGCTCCTGGGCATGCCTCCGCAGAAGCTTCTAGACCAATCAAAACGGGCAAAAAATTTTATCTCATCAAAAGGTATTTTTTTTTCATAACAACTTTTTTCTTTTTTAAATAGCACTAACCTTTCAGGGCGCTTTGCACTCATCTTCTATTTCAATTGTGAACATTTTCTACAAAAAAAGTTCGCGGATTTATAAAAAAAATCGTGGATTTTCAAAATTTGATGATAATCGAATTTTGTTGGAGGCTACATTTTGAAATTTTGATCATCTATAAACCAAGCGAGATCCCACAAAAAAATTGGGCCCGATCGGTTCAGCCGTTTTGACGTTTGACAAACAAACAGACAAACCAGATTTATATATAGACTAGGCTTTTAGGGCGCTTCGCGCCCATCTTCTATTTAAATTGTGAACATGTTCTTTTTGTTTACATTTCAAATCAAATAAGAAAAAAAATTTGCGGATTTAAAAAAAAATTCGCGGATTTTCAAGAATTTATTTTTTTTACAAAATTAAAAACCTTTAAAACACATTTTCTTAATTTTTATCATTCATATACCTTCCCTGTGGTCACGTGATGTCCCACAAAGAATTTGGGCCCGATCGGTTCAGCCGTTTTGACGTTTATTGGATACAAACAAACAAACAAACACCCTAACAGACAGACAAGCCAAATTTATATATAGATGACCATCGTATTAGTATTATTCTTTCTACAAGTTCGATGGCGAAAAATTTTCAATAGATAATTCGTGAACTCTTGTGGTTCTAATCAAATATAATAAAAAAGTCCATGATTTGTTCCAGTTGGAAAAACGTCCAAGAATTCTATCATAAGATTAGATTTTGATGTAAAATATTGTAAAGTTTTAATGAGGTTATTTGATTGAAGGGTTTCATAATAAAAACTTTGTTTTTTAATACCTTTCAAGTTTTATCTTAAGTAAAAATTTCTTAAGATTAAAATTTTTTTAAAAGATTTATTTCCAATTTTTAAAATTCTTAGATATATTCTAGATGAAATATGAAAACATCTTTTCTTAACTCTGAAAAATGATGGCCCCTTTTATAGATATAGGGTTACCTACAGTTTTCATTCTTATATTAATTATTCCCTGCAACTGTAAACTTGTTGTTTTCTTTGGCAAATCAAATAATCCATGAAAGGCAGGCTTGAATTAACCTTGGGATACAAGTGTTAAGTCGTCTTTACAGTCTTACAGTCTTTACAGTAACCCAGTATTTTCTAAATCTGAAATTCATTTCAAGAACAGAGGCTTCAAACTTTAGTTTAAAACAGTTCGTGTTAAAGTTTCATTTGCCCGTTAACAAGATTCCTTTATTAATTAAAATTAAAACTTGAATTTCTCAAAACCTTTCAAATTTCATCCGCGACACTTCTATTTAGATGTCTTGTTAAGGATTCTACTTGTTAAATTTTTATTTTAAACAGTGGGATTGTTTTGATTTTTTAAATAGACTTCTTAAACTTTCCTTTTAGTTCCCTAAATATAGATTTTTAAAATTTTTATTTTAAGCAGTGGGATTGTTTGATTTTTTAAATAGACTTCTTAAACTTTCCTTTTAGTTCCCTAAATATAGATTTTTAAAATTTTTATTTTAAACAGTGGGATTGTTTGATTTTTTAAATAGATATTATAAACTTGCCTTTGTGTTCGCTAAATATAGATTTTTAAAATCTTCTACTTAAAGTAACAGTATTTCAATCAATCCTCCATTTATAGAATGGCATGTCAGATTTACAACGGTAACCTTTTAGTTATATCCATAATTTATATTTATTATTTGCAGGATATCCCCGCTACTGCACCGCCTCGAGTTTAGCGGACGGAACAACGGTGTTGAACGGCGGTAGATCCCGCCGAGGAAAACCAAGAGGACCGCCGGGCTCTAGGGAGCTTCAAACAGCCCTTAAGGGCTGCGACGATCAACTCTTCCTTGACTTTATCCGCCGTTGCCTAGAGTGGGATCCCACCACGAGAATGACGCCAACGGCGGCGTTGCGTCACGCCTGGTTACGCCGGCGGTTGCCCAGACCTCCCCTGGTAAGTTTTTAAAGAAATATAACTTTAGTCAAATTCCATGAAGCATGTTTTGGTCTTAGAACTAAGGCCTGCTATGAAAAAATATAGTGTCTGCTTGTAATTTGCATACTGTTAACTGAAAATCATTTCAGATAACAAAATATTTGATTAAAATTTAGTAAGAAAAGAAAATTTTGTAACAAAATTAATTAAATGGAATTAAATTAAAAATCTTACCTTTTTAAGGTCCGAGTAATTTTTTTTGGGGGAAGAAATCAGTATTTATACAAATATTTACATGTTTACATTGTTCAATTACAACCTTTATCAACTTATTTTTAATGTTTAGGAGACTGGAGAAAGTCCATCTGGAACTCTCCGCACCACGAACTCCAGTAGCTCGAGAAACTCCAGCAAGATGAACACTATCGCTGGTTCAGCCAAGATCAGGGTCAACGAGGATGGAGGACCAAACACTATTCATAGCAGGCATCAGACAACTAAACTACCCCAGATTCCGAATAGTATTGCGTAGACAGCTGGGGGATGTTATCAGGTTCTCTCATTTAGATTAGACAGCTAGACATCACAGTAACACAGCGAGAAGACAGCGAGAATAATGTCAACAGCTGAAAATACACAGTTTTGCGCATTACAATGTATATGTGCACTATGTACTATCTATATCTCCTTTCATTTTGCGTCGGGAAAAAGACGACTTTTCTCACAAGTCCTTGCTGTTTAACTGTAGCTAAGGCTGTCTCTAATCAATCTCAACTTAGCCAAAGCACGATAATCTTACAGCACCAACTCCAATCGTCTTCTAACCTTGGGTGGACGAACACTATGGATGGAGGACGAAAAGCTGCAGGGTCGGCAGGTCGTCAGAAACCGGTCTTTCCAGGCCGGGTACAACTCCTCACTCAAAAGGAAGATCTCAGAAAACTCCAAAGCGCTCAAAAAAATATTTTGTGATCCTAGTTTGGTCAGAAAATGGTCTGTGGGCGGCCATTTTGTAGTCCCTTTACCTGGATCGGTAGACCAGTGCCGCGTTGAAAAATGCGGAAATCACCGAAGAAAAAAAAAGGCGGTAAATGACTTGGTCTCAACTATTAGCAATGTTATTGTTCACGCTTCGCCTGAGCAATTTCTACGCAGTAGGGCTTGGTCCAAGTTATTGCAAACTGCATGCATGATAACATCACATAGACAATACAGTGAAAGTGCAGATAAAGGTCAAGGGTTTGGCCAAAATATAAAATAATGGCCTCCCAGTCATTTTAGTGGTTTAGCATAAATATTTAGAATAGTTATTACAAGGAAGAAATCCTGAATCCCGTTGTTGATCCCGAGGATCCTAGGCGGGATTTGAACTGACATATCCCGAAGCCGGGGGAACGCAATTACTGAACCTAGTCAAGCCAGACCCCGGGCATGATATCCCGCAAAATTCTTCACGCAATCAATTTACTTAAGTTACATACAGATTAAACAATTTACATTAATTGTAAAATATTTTTGCATAGTTTTGTTGTGTACTATTATCCTGTACATAAATTGTGGATTTTGTGTAATTGGTGTCAACGTCAGCTGTACATATGTACTTATAAAAGTGGTACAACGTAATTTATTATGAATTTATACAATTTACAATTTGTGTACATGGTTTGTTGTACATGTATGTCATATACCAATACGATCTGATGATGTTTCTAACTCTATTTGGTCTCAATTTTGTTTTCAACTCTACTGCCAGAAAGCTGACGAATATCCATGACTTTTAAGCCTAAGTTTTTTTTATGAATTTTATAAAATCAACTTTTAATAATTTTATTTATTTTTGAAAAAACAACACTCTCCCTTTTCTTACATTTTTAAGTGCAATATATCTTATCAAATATTTAAAACCAACAATTTGAAAATGGCCGGCTAAAGGGCAGGGTGTCATCTGTTTAGTGCTTTTCTATAGTTTTGTCTAAAAAACATCCCCTGACCGGCCCAAAATTCTTGGAACTAGCTAAAATTCTAAACTGATTGTATTCCTACCTTTATATTAAACAATTGTATATGTCATGTGCGTTGTATACTCAACTATATATTGTATAAGGACCGAGCTAAGTTTATTGTGTACATGTTGCGTTCACATGTACACAATATAAAGAATGTTATACTGGATGAACTTTGACCGTGTTAGCTAAATGTGTAAAAATGCTCGACATTTTGATATTAAAATTGGAACTTTTCCTTTTAGTTTTTTTACTTTTTATTACGTAGTAATTACTCGCGATGACTATTGTTCAAAATCACTTAAAAAAGACAAATAATTGATCGTACTGCAGTCTACAGTGTGATTTTTTTTATTCAGTTTCTATCATTATTATTATCATTATTATTATTAGCTGTATTAGTGTTTCAGTGTAATCTATCAATCCTTAAACCCGTCTTTCATGCGGTAGTTTTTATTTATTCTTACAGAATACCCCCCCCCCTTAAGTCAAAAAATCTAAACCCTTACTTATCCCAAAAATCTAAACCCTAACTTATCCCAAAAATCTAAACCCTAACTTATCCCAAAAATCTAAACCCTAACTTATCCCAAAAATCTATACCCTAACTTATCCCAAAATTCTAACCCCTAACTTATCTCAAAAATGTAAACCTTATTTATCCTAAATTAGGGAATTGGGGTTTAACAATTCAGATGATAACGGGAAATTCTTGCAGTTTAAAAATCTGTGATTGAATTGAATATCTTGCCAATCCATTATTGATAAGCCCCCCTTTACCCCCCGTAAACCTGTAGAGTATATACTTAATGTTTTTACATTTACACTGTGTAATGTAAATATAAATTTTCCTCTTTACTTTGTTTTATTGTATATGTACTACGTAGTCAGATTATTGCCTATCAGTGAGAACCAGAAAACTCTGAAATAGAAAACGATGTTGAAACTCGGATTATGACTTTAAAAAGTCCGATGAACATGAGACACCGGAATTGTGCAGTGTAAACAGATCCATTTCACTTTATAGGTACGATTTACTAAGTTATCAGTTAACTATTAACTCTTGTTATAATGCTTCCTATTCCACAGTTTTCTGGTTCTCACTCTATTAGAATTGAAAACACGCTAAACTAAAGTAAATTCCACGTCAGATTAAAATGTTTTCAATCAGAACTCCTCTTATTGAAGAGCTATTGAGAATGAGAAGATCACAACTGTTCTTCTTTAAATTATGTTGCCGGAAAAATTTTCTGATTTCCTATTTGTGCGTAAAATTGAAACTGGAGTATCTACGAGGTTACAAAGTATGACTAGTTATGTCAGATTAAAGTTACCTTATCCTTATGTATAGTTTTCAGTGCAGGTTTTGTGTGTTAATTGAGTAACAACCTACGAATTGTGTTTTTTTGCGATCTTGAAAATTTTAGTTTAGATTCAAATTAAGACATTGTTTGATAATATGGAACAGAATTGTGTGATTCCGAGTGTAGAGTATGAACAAATCGATATAGGTTCTGGGGAAAAGAATAAAAAATTATTGTGAAGACGACATGTCTGGGAACGGATATGGAATGGTTTACCAAACCAAATAATTTTGGGGTAAAAATCACGTTTTCAAGGTCATTCTTCAAGAAAAATTGGCCGGGGGAAGAACTAGGACTATGAAGTTGTTTGTAGTTTGTATAGAATAGTCATAAAAAGTATTTGTTCTTTTCTCTAGGGCCTGTGTCGGTTTTTCTTACTCGGAGCTCGGAATCGTAATTTTTCTTGAAGTACTCCCAAGTCTCAAAACGAAGAGAAAAATTCAATTGTGGATTATATCAGGGTAGCATAAAAAATACAAGTAGAAATCAAAAGGCCAAGGCGATGAGACAAGTTCAAGTCGACCCGTTCTTGAAAGTTGATGAAACTTTTCACATTGGGCTATGCACGGGAGCTCGAGAACCTAAGATAGGAACTTGGAACGTTCGAACCATGCATGAACATCAAGACAGGAACTTGGAACGTTCGAACCATGCATGAACATCAAGACAGGAACTTGGAACGTTTGAACCATATTGTATGAATCGTCAAAATGAGCTCAAGTGCATATCAGATGAATATAAGCCATTAGGATATATAAGGACTAAGTTAAGTGGAGAGCTGAAATTATGGAGTGGAGAGACCATCCTCTAATCTGGTCCTGAGAGGTTTCACCAGCATGATAGCCAAAAATTATGAGAAATCACTAATAGAATAGGAACCTAAAAATGAGAGAATTATTAAAGCTAGATTTAAATCCAATAATTGCAAATTAACAGTAATACAAGTTTATATGCACCCACCAATGATGCCGAGGAGGATGCTAAGAACAAAGGCGTATACAGGGAGAGGGCAGTGCCCCCCGCCCCAAGACCTGCTAAGCGAGGGGGCGTTCCCTTATCCTATAAGTCTGAGGTATCACACTTTTCACATCTGAAACTGAAGAGTGAAGAAAATAAATAAATTAGTTTGTCGTTCTTTTCTGCTAGTCCTGTTTAAAGTAGAGATAAAGTAGTACTTCTAAGATAATTGGACAGTATGTGTACCTTTAAAGTATCCAAGAAGCCAAATTTTCAAAATTTACAATTCAAATTTCCCCACCCCCGATATCCTAGTGGGAGGCAAAAAAATATTCCGGTATACGACCTTGTCTATAAATCTAGTTGCATGCATGGCTGTGGAAACATAAATAAAAACAGAGATTGGCTGGTAGACCTCTTTCAAGTAAACAACCTAATCATTGGAGGAACAATTTTTCCACACAAAGATTTTCACACAGAGAACGTGGATATCACATTCTTATCATCAGTAAATGGAGATATTCTATGAGAGATGTTAGGACATACAGGGGAGTTGATGTGGCAAGTGACCATCACCTATAAAAGATCAAACTCAAGCTTAGGAAAGTCACATAAAAAATAGATGGAGCACAAGGAAGGAGTTTTAACATCAGTAAACCTTTCGCAAAGAAGAGATAGGATATCACAATTAAAAAGAGAAAAGAATGGATATCCGACAAAACCTGGAAAACCATAGAATAGAGGAGAATAATGAAGGATAAGGGAAACTCAGCTCAGAAAGACAGAAAGAAAGAAGGAGAAAGGAGCACAGCGACAAGAAGAAAGAAATGAAGAAATAAGCAAAGGCAGAGAAAAGGAAAGGAATTGAATCTTTGTCACAAACTATGATTTTCTAATCTCTATATCTTTTCTACACAATGTAGTAGACCTTAGATATTTCAAACTATGAATTCTGTTAGACGAAAGAATCTGGGTTCGAAATATCAAAGGTTTACTCCATCAGGTGGTAAAAATATAGGTATCAGAAAATGAAATTTTGTTACAAAGACTCAATTCATTTGCCTAAAATCTGGCAGAAGAAGCAGATGAAGCAGCACGGAAAGGAGATTTGAACCAAGTGGTAAATCTGGAAAATCTGCGAATACTCTGCAGAATTATTTTAAAAAGAATATATGGATAAAGCCATTGATAGTGAACTATGGGAGGTAGAGGTTGCATTAATAAATTTTTTTCTCTCTGCAATATCATAAAACAATGCTCTAAATGGAACCAGCCATATCACATATGAACTTAGTGAATTTCAGGAAAGCATTTGAGAGAATAAACAGAACTAGTCTGTGGAAGATAGCTAGGAGCTATGGAGAAATGGAGACTTCAGAATGGTTTAATATAGAAACTGGAGTAACACAGGGTTGACAGGGATTCAGTGAGGCTTGTTCAATCAATTAGACGACCTGGACTTCATTGATGACCTAGCTTCGTTGAAGACCTAGCCTGTAATCACAGAATCATGCAAGAAAAGTCTAACAGATTGGTAAAATATTGAAAACAAGTAGGACTCTGAGGAGGTAAAAGAAATACAATTTGTTGAAAAGTGATAAGCAATGATAATGGAGCAAAGACAGATATCACATCAAGACAAAAGCAAGACATGCATTTAGCCTGCTGACCAATATCTGGAGATCAAACAAGTACAACATGAAACAAAGTTGAACTGTACAACAGCAATGTAAAATCTGTAATTATCTGTGGTTTAGAGGGAACAAAGTTGAACTGTACAACAGCAATGTAAAATCTGTAATTATCTGTGGTTTAGAGTGCTGTAGGGTTGTGAATGGAGATATGAACGAAGTTTCTTCCTTTCATAACACCTGTCTGAGAAGTATATTCATGATGTTCTGGCCCAACCAGTTTTCCAAATGCAGAACTGCCCTCCAGGACCAATAGTATAGATATATAAGAAATCAAAGGAAGGAGGTTAAGATGGCTGGAACATGTACTTAGAATGGAAAATAATAGGACACCTATGTAAGCACTAAGATGGACTCCACCAGGGAGAAGGAACAGACCCAAGACTTCTTGGAGGTTCAGTGTGGAGACAGAAATGAAGGAGATTAATTTAACCTGGGGAGAAGCTGAGAATATTGCTAAGAACCGAGAAGAATGGAAAGGAATTATTCGAGCGGTCTTATGTCCCACCAGGGACGAAGAGGATAAAGTTTCAATCCAGTACGTAAGCATGGATTGCAACTTAATATATTAGAAAATAGCCAGATAAGATTAGCACTACATACAGTGAAACCCAGAAAACTGGAATAAGAAGACGAACGATCTAATGCATATTTGATTTAATGATATGAATGTATGGGGCCACAGTAGTTTACTTGATCAAAATACGTGCTGAAGGGCCCGGCGTTGCCCGTGGAAAAAAATACTTTTAAAAATAATATAAAATTTTTTTTTTTTTAGCCCATGAGTGTCCACAAAAAAATTCAGCCCAATCGATCCAGCCGTCTTTACGCAAAATGTCGTGTTTTATTATATAGATTTACTTTCAAAATAATTTGAGGAATCCAGAATGTGGTATCACTTGAACTAAAATTTAGATAAAAGCAGGTCGAGATTAACTAAAAAGGATCCATATAAATATATAGTTATCTTGCATTTTTCATTGTTTACATTCATAAAATCAAGTATACATTTTCCATAACCCCAGTTTGGACATACTTAAAGACTTACTTTTTTTCAGTTAAGAAGAACTTACCCTATCTCCATTAGGAAGAAGGGTCCCCATGGACGTTTTTTTGTACATAACTCAACAAGTAACGGTTTCTAGCTGCTCAAAATTTCTGGGCCTTTATAAATACTACTTACACATAAACAAACAGAAAAAAGAATAAATTGTATGTTAAATTTCTGTAAAGTTAGACTGAATTGCACCGAAAGATAAAAAGAATAGAAAAGCCATGAATAATGAAAAGTTTCTTAAACTTATAATTGGAATTTTTAAATTGTTTCAATGCAAGATTTAAAAGAACTTGTTTTAGAATTTTTAAAGATAATTGGATCAGAATAAGCGTGGGAGTAATTCGATGGGCTTAAATGAAACACATTATAATTACTAAGAAGAAATGTAAAATGTAAAAAATTGTGAACTTTTTGCTCTGTTTATGAAATTATTCAATTTGAAATGGTTTATTCTTTGGTCAAGATTTTTCCAGATAGAACAAAACTTTTTAGTGACTTTTCAAAATTGCTCGATTATTACTTTTCCATTGATCTTTCATAGATCTTAAATTTAAATATATTTGTCCTTTTCTTTTGTGACTTTTTAAGATATATTTTATATAATCAGAGCTGAAAACTTTAGAATGAGATATCTTTATTCCCGATTACTTAATCTGAGTATCCAATGGTCACACTTTTGATCTTAAACCGTTTGTCTTGGATATTGTAGAGAAAAATCAAAAACCGGTTTTTCAAAATTGGAGAGTACCTGCCATCTCTGTATATTAATCTTAAATGGCGCATAAAATTTTAAATTTTATCAGCTTCATATACACGACTGTAATTGGTTGGATTTTATACACTTTTCAGGATACAAGATTAGGTTAGTCTCGAATTAAGAAAAAGAGAGGATCAAGGATTATGATCTCGCTATCCACCATTCTAAAGTTTTCAGCTTTTTCACTTAAATTAAAGTTTTCTAGTGTTTTTCATTTTAACTAATTCACCGAAATAATTTTCAGAATTCATGATTTAAAGAAAGAACAAAGACAGCAATCATGAAAATTATTCAAAGTGTCTCTTAACATTTTGAATCTTCTACATTTCTTTTTCTGTCGTTCTGTCAGATAAAGTGGTTTTTAATGGACGGAGTGAGAAGTTTTAACATCTACCAAAATTTTAGAATAAAAAGATTGTTATTAGTTAAATCCATGTTTAATGATTTCTTAATTTAAATTTCATTATCTACACTTTAAATTGCATATTTTACCACCAAATGCATTCTTGTTTTGAATAAATTGTTCTAATATATCAAAATTATTATTTAGCTTAAAGGGACATGTAAAGAAAAAATGAAAGGGGGTGTAGGCTGAAAGCTTATCACTTTAGCTCTCGATCGCGGCCCATGAAAGTTATATCTGATGTTTCTATCTCGAGAAACTGATTTACAACTTTGTCAAATATACAATTTTGTATAAAAGTAATGGGTTTAAAAAGATCAAATTCAGCAAATATGCAACCAATCTGAAAACGATGATATCCCAGAGAAAGCTAATTGTAACTTAGGTTTACTCCAATTCTAATTTTATATTTGTTATTTCTATTTTTTATAGATTTAATTCATAATATTATTAATACGTCCGTATTGCTTGACCAGAAATTCCACCAATGGCAGTGCAGTAAAGTGGTCACGTGATACAGGCGGAGACACGTGATCAGTATACTGCTCTGCCATTGGTGATAGTTCTGGTCACGTGATTTAAGTTTAAGATTTTCTAAATTTTACATATATAAACTTTCGTATAATTTCAACACAGTTTTTTATCAATTTCTCGAGATAGGAACATCAGATAAAACTTTCATGCGTCGCGATCAAGAGCTAAAATGATTAGCTTTCAGCCTATACCCCCTTTAATTTTTCTTTTACAGTCCCTTTAATGAGCGACCTTAAGACATGGGGCGAGGGATATTTCGCACCCCCCTCTCGTAAATTTTTTTCTTTAAAGTTGTTAGCCATACTTTTCCGACGTTGCCGAAAAGGTTTCCAAAATCAAACAGCATAACTAGTGTGCTTCATTTTCATTGGAATATTAAAAAATTAAACTGTCGTCTTCTTATTACACAGTTTTATGATTCTCAGCGTACAGTGTATATACACGCACATAATTAAACGTGACTTTTTTCTAGCAACACTTTTAACAGAAAACTGTTGTTTTTCAAGTTGCACTTTTTTCTTCTTTCTTATAAACAATATGTTTTCGCAGATTCTTTTGCTTTAATTGCTGGATTTTCAAAAATCGTAAATTTTTAGGCAAAATTATTCAATTTGACGATCCACCCTTTCCTGCGGTCATGTGAGTTGCCAAAAAAATGAGACCGATTTGACGTTTTTTAATGCAAACAAACATATATAACAGAAACATTAAAATGATAAAAATATTAAAATAACAAAAATAACTAGAGAAGAATGGCATTGGGACATTTCATAGATAGAACATTTCGTAGATAGGAAATTTTATAGATAAGAAATTTCAAAGATAGGACATTTCATAGATAAGACATTTCATAGATTAGACATTTCATAGATAAGACATTTCATAAAGGACATTTTATAGATAAGACATTTCATAGATAGGACATTTCATAGATAAGACATTTCATAGATAAGACATTTCATAGATAAGACATTTCATAGATAAGCCAAATCATATATAGACAGAGCAGATTTTCCATAGACAGACGAGATTTTTTTACAATTTTTTTACAAAATGTCTTATCTTCCTTCTACCACGCAACTGAGAATTTTAAGTTTTTTCAATTTTGTTTTGTGGATTTTTAACAATTCACTCGAGCATTTTCATTCAACAAAAGCACTATTAGTAAAAAAACTTTTATATGGACAGAAAAGTACAAATGAAATAGTTAAATTTTAGTTCTGAAAAAAATTAATAAAGTACTTTTTATATGTAATGTTTATTTAAATGGTTTCGTTGTAGCAATGTATTTACATGAAAAAACTAAGAAAAAAAATTTCGTAGATAAAAAATCTCCTCTGTCTATGGAAAATATTCTTTGTCTATTAAATGTCTTATCTATGAAATGTCCAATCTATGGAATGTCCTATATATATAATGTCCTATATATGGAATGTCCTATATATGGAATGTCCTATATATGAAATGTCCTATCTATGGAATGTCCTATCTATGAAATGTCCGTCTATAAAATGTATTTCTATGCAATGTCCTATCTATGAAATGTATTTCTTTAAAATGTCTCCTGGGAACCAAAATAATAATAACAAATATAACAAATAACAGATAAATCTAATAACAAAATGAAAATAAAAAATATGTCTAATAACAAAAAAATAACTAAATATAATAACAAACATAACAATAACATAAATAACAAAATGACTCTAATCACAATCTACTACAACGGAGGCATGGTTGCCACGAGGATATTTCAGAGTGTCTGTTTGAGTTTGCCATGTGGTACCAATTAACTTCTCAAATGTATCAAATGGTTGAAACTCTACAATTCCTTGTGGTCCAAATCCTCCAAACACTGTTAATTCTCCATTTACAACCTCCATTGTGTGATCAGCACGTTGGGTATTCAAGGGTGATATGGTTCTCCATTCTAGGGTTTTTAGGTTCAATACTTCAACAGTGTCCAGAAGAAGTTCAGTTTTTAAAGAAGTTCCTCCACTTACATAAACTTCTCCGTTCAGCAGTGCACAAGCATGTCCAAACCTCTCAACAGAAGAGCTTGGAATACTAGTGATTTTACCCGTAAATATATTATACTTCTCTACAAGAAGTGTGGTACTGTCAAAAGTACCACCAACAACCAATATTTCTGTTTCACTGACAGGAACAGCACAGCTGTTTTCTCTTTCAGAAGACAGAGTATATGGAAGTTTAATCCACACAAAGCCATCAAATATCTCCACAGTGTCTAGTTGTTTTACATTTGTTTCACCACTATTATCAACAACAACATTATATCCTCCAGTTACAAGGATATATGATCCAACCGATGTCATGGTGTGAGAAAATTTGGGGACATTCATGCTTGGTACTGACACCCAGGTTCCTTCATCGTTCTTATAACATTCATTTGTTGTGTTGCCGACTCTTGGACTTATAGTCTCAATTAATCCTCCACAGTAGTAAAGCTGGTTATTTAAGACTGCAGCTCCAGGACGGTATACAAGGGGAGTATCAGCTAGAGTTACTGAACATGAGAAACTTTCCGTTTTTTCAAATCCTCCGATCAGAACAACACCCTTTCTAGTTGAAGAACAGCAGTTAGATGCTCCAAAGAAAAGTCTTGCAAATGCCTGTTATCATAGATTAATTAACAATAACAGATAGGACACGAGATGTCGTCTTTTCAAGACTTCAGGGTTTTTCGTTCACAATAACCCTGAGGCAGCAGCGCAAAGAAGTTACGCGCATTCGGCATTGAATTACAAGACAGAGAGAGAGCATACGCGTAACCCCTTTAAGCTCCAGTCTCTGAATTATTGTGAACGAAAAACTACTAAATCTTGAAAATATAACATCTAGTGTACTATCCATCATTGTTAATTAATCTATGCCTGTGATCCTTCAGCTGGGCAAATACAATTTACTGAAGAACCAAAAAAGATCGGAGAGGCAGACACTGAATTAAGAGAGAAAAGACCAACCTGCAAAAATAGATAAAATTATTTATTTATGTCTTTACTAATTTTGTACATCAACTGAAATAAAGTGTTAAAGGGGGTATAGGTTGACATCGAATTTAATTCGATATGGATCTTTAATAATTTTACATCAATCTGCTGCGTCTATAAGGAGAAAATTGTTACAAACAAATCATACCGAAGAACGTCGAGTAATCTGCTGCGTCTATAAGGAGAAAATTGTTAAAAACAAATCATACCGAAGAACGTCGAGTATACAAATTGACAGAGTGGCATTATTCAACTCAGATCGTATATAATTCAGTTAAATTAAAAAACGACTCATTCTGATGTTATAAACTTAATATTAATAATCGTTCTTACGTTGAGGGTAGAAAAGTGTTGATTTGTATAACCTGAGTACGAATTTAAAGAATTTGAGCCGCGGCTCAAATATTGTTGGTTCCACTTAAAATTGTATCAACTTTTTTTAAAGATTTAAGCCGGCGCTCAATTGAAAGCAGTTTTTGGGATTTGAGACACGGCTTAAATTCATTAAATTCGGACTCTGAGTATAAGCTGACAAAATTAAATTTCCACAATTACCAAAATGCGTTTACCAAAATGTTTGCATTGGACGTTTGCATGCACCAGTTTTCATTTTTATTTAAAAATCTTCAACTATTTTTTTACAAATATTTGAAAATTATAACTTAAAACCGCGTTTTTTTTAATTTTTAAGACCAGTCCAAAACTTTTGGCCACAACTTGAGTTAAATCTTAAGTTTTTGCCATGTTACCAAGTTCAGGAATGGTATCGAAAAGTTGAGTTTTGCAAGTTCAAATAAAAAAACAGCTTTATAGGACATAGTTTAATACTTCCCAATTCTTAGGTAAAAGGCGAGAGGCAATTAGAATTCAAGAAAGTTTTGTAAAAAATAAATTTCATCGAGCCAAAACTGAAAAAAATATAATTCGGAAGTGTTTTAAATAGCTCAATCTAAATGATTTTTACATTCTAGGCATGGTATGAGAGAATTAAATAATTAATGCTAGGCATGGTATGAGAGAGAATTAAATAGTTAATTCTTGGCATGGTATGAGAGAGAATTAGATAATTAATTCTAGACATGGTATGAGAGAGAATTAAATAATTAATTCTAGGCACGGTATGAGAGATAATTAAATAATTAATTCTTGGCATGGTATATAAGAGAATTAAATAATTAATTCTAGGCATGGTATGAAAGATAATTAAATAATTAATTCTAGGTATGGTATGAGAGAGAATTAAATAATTAATTCTAGGCATGGTATGAGAGAGAATTAAATAATTAATTCTAGGCATGGTATAAAAGAGAATTAAAAAAATTTTAAAATTTAAAAAAAATCTTTTAAGTACAAAACATTCCTTTGAAATATGTGATATGGATATTAAAGAAAAAAATCGATAATTTTAACAAAAAAGTTTGCTCTCAAAAGTTTCATCAATTTTCAAGACTGGGCCAACTTCGGAGAGTCGTAACGTATTGGTTCTTGATTTTTCCTCCCTTACTCCCTTCCACTGTTAAGTAGCCCTATAGACGTCTAAATTTTAGTACTCTAAGATTATTGTTTCCAGTTTTAGTTTTTAAGACGTAATGGGCAAAATTCTAAATGAATTTTTTCGCGAGAACAATTGCCACCTCTAGATCACTGATAGGGAAGGGTGACCAGTCTATACCCCCCCCCCCTACACGCTCCCCTAACACTGTTACGCGTAGAAAAATAAATGAATTTAAGAAGTTGATTGAATAAAAATAACATATACCGTGAGTTGAAGAAGGTGGCCCATGTCGGCCATGTTCAGTTCGATGGTTAGACTTAAACTGAAAATTTTGAGATAATACTTATAGCTTATAAATAAGGTCATTATTTATTAGGGACCAGCTATTTTGTTTATAGGCTGATTTACCTTGGCGGGGTTGATAGAATTTCTTATAATGCACCAGTTTAAGTTTTATAGATTTTTATGATCCGAGAGTTACTTTTGAAAACATTCATTCCTGTTTCGAGGATTTTTGATAATGAAGACGATATTTTTATATTTTCCATACTGGAATAATCGAAACTCCAGCGCCAGCTGTAAAAAAATTGATTTAAAAAACAAAATAAAAAATATTATGAACGCTATCAACTTTATACGAATGCATCATATTACATTCGACAATTGTAGGTTGTAACGTACGAATGAGCAGTTATAAATTTAATTGAATTATTAACGATCTAAGTGGAAAAATTCAACTACGTGAATTTGTGTGCAACTCTACGCCATGGGTGTTAGACGTTTTTAAACATTTTCTCATTATAGACGTAACAGATAGAAGTAAGATTAGTAGCGACCGATTGGACCGATGCCCCTAGTTTCGTTTTTCACGAACACTCTCGTTAATTGTAAAAAACATCTAATTTCAAATTAACTTTTCCGAATGTTTATATTTTATTAGCAATTTGCATATAGGTCATTCCTAAACAGAAAGGACAACCTCCAGAAATGAGAATTTTCGATTTGGTTAAAATTTTATCCACAGTTTAAAGAAGAAAAAAATTGATTTGAATTTTGAAAAAATCGGGGTTAAACTGTTTGGGCACCATAAATTGGAAAATTGAAAATTTGAGAAAAACTTAAAAGTAAATCCTGTAACTTTTTTGTTTTAAATATAATCAGATATTTAGCTAACACAAAGTTGTTAAACTTAAAGAAAAAAAAATTCAGAAACTATTTTTCCGAAATATTTTAGGGGCAGAAACAGACTGTAATAAAATTTAAATAAAAAAACATATTAGCTAGTTCAACAAACATATATTCGTTTTATGAACATGAATTTTGTATTATTTTTACAATAAATCATGGCTATCGGAATCCATCGGTATGCCACTAAAGGACAAAAAAAATAAAATCATGAAATTTTGATTATTTCAATCTGTCCATGCATGTGATATGTCTGAATGAATACTATAACTAAAAGTATATAGCCAATAGGACTCAGTCCCCAAGTGGATAGGATCGGCTCGAACAGTGCATCCTGATCGACACTGCTATGGTAGGCAGCTCCCAACTTATCATGGCTCACAACTGGCTTATCAAAATTCAAAAGTCCAAAAACTAGAGTAAACCCGTTTCCGTTCTCTTTTAAACTTTCCTAAAATGATCATCCTAGGTTTTACGATTTCTCTTACTTCATATTGAATATATAATCTGAGAAAAACCAAAATTTCAAATATAGAATAACAAAAAAACAAAAAACAAAAATAATAATGAACAAAAAATTTGTAAAAATTAAGTTATAAATAAGCCAGTGTTTTGCCATGAAACATCTGGAAAGTCAATAGTTATCAAATTTTCGATTGATTCCAGAATCCAGATGGGTAAAAATATAACATCATGACTGGTTGAAACAGATTCACCTGTCCTATACAAATTGCATTAGTTTTGTTCCAAAAGTCCAAAAAAGTGCCTTTGTCTTAAAAATAGTTTTGAGTATTTGTTAAATCCGCCGTAGTAGTCTTCAGAATGGTCAATTAGTAATTTTTTTAATTTATACAGAAAATGAAAGATGTTTTATTTTAATCATTAAGCTTTCCATGACATTCCAAAATTGTAAAAAAATGCTCCTCTAAAAATCCCCAATATATTATAACCATGTGCAATGGCAGCAATGTTAGCAACCGCTGGTTTAAATCAAAATATATATAATCAATTAGGGGATTCACATCCTAGTTGATAAGAGAAGAATTAGGAGTAAAGGCCGCAAACTTGGCCAGTTAAAATGTATAAAGAGACAAAAGTATTTCAACTGAAACAAATATCAGATAAATGATGAATTGCAGATAATCTTAAAAAACTTTAGTTTTATTATGTGTACGAGAGAGAGGTTTATTGTGCCAACTCCCGCATTTTTGCATTTTTTATATTTTTTTGTTCAAAATTTCAATCATTCCTCCCCCCCCCCCCCAGGGGGGGTTTTTTGGGGGTGGTGGGGGGGGGGGGGGTAACGGTTTTTTTCACAATACTTCTTTTAAAATGCATTTGTCTTTTGTTTCATGTTGAGAATGGACAAATGAATATATTCTGATAATCTTTTCATTTACAAACATTGTATGAATTGTAGCTTGCATTGATTTTTAATGATTTCATTTTATAATTACTTTTCCTGGTCATATATGTATCCTTGAATGGATCCTGTAAACCCGCAATATAATTAGATGTCGTCTTTGTTACAGAGAGCTTTTTGGAAAAAATCATATTTTTTATAGCCAGAGCACAAAAAAGCTCGGGGGTTTCGGGATACTCTCAATATATATAGATTCTAACAGCCATATAGAAAAGATTTAGGGGCTCCAGCAGAACTCCACATCCTTGATTTAGTCCGAGTAGCGTGTTGAAAAATCCTATTTTAAGAGTTTTCAATGAAATACCGGGTTTTCGGTCGAAATTATTAACTAAAACATAAGATTTAAACAACTTAGAAACTTCCCTCTCAAAAAAAATTCTTAAGCAGCCAAGAGGTTTATGGAATAAACTCATTTTGGAGGATATAATTATAGCCGCCCCCACCCCCCTCAATTGCAACATCAAAATATAATTAGAAATTAAATTTTTTATTGAAATATTACCCTAACCATGTTGCCATTTTAATATCATTTTGGAAAACTGATCAACTGAAGTTTGTGGATTTTTTTTGAAAATTGAAATTGGAGACGGCATTGGCGGCTAGCGCTAATACCATGAGGATACTTATCTAAAAACTCGTGAAAAAAAATTTAACAAGTTTTTTTTGTGTATTTTCAATGCAAACATCTTATCCAAATTTGATTTCTAGAGCCAGATTCAATGTCAAATTAACAGAATTTAAACAAATTGCTTCTCAGAATTAAAAAAATATTTTTAAAAACAATTTCTTTAAATGATGCATTTATTATTAGAATTGCAAGAGTATAGCTTGCATGCAGATTTTTAGAAATAAATATATAAATATTTAAATCATTTGATATTTTCAAAAGTATAAAAGGGACTGTTTTCAGTATTAACCTCTAGTCGTTGTAACATGTTGAGGTTTAAAGGGAGTGTTCGCGAAAAATGAGAGGGGGTAAAGTTTAATGCGATAAAAATGCGCTTTTGATCGCTACTAATCTTACTTCTAGCTGTTGCGTCTATAAGGAGAAAATTGTTAAAAACGACTAATACCGAAGAACGTAGTGTCCATCTAAATTCAGAAAGATGCAACAAACGATTAACGATTATAATTAGAAATTAAATTTTGATTGAAATATTAGCCTAACAATGTTGCCATTTTATTATCATTTTGGAAATCTGATCAACTGAAGTTTGTGGATTTTTTTTTGAAAATTGAAACTGGAGACGGCATTGGCGGCTAGCGCCAATACCATGAGGATTCTTATCTAAAAACTCGTGAAAAAATCTTTTTTGTGTATTTTCAATGCAAATATCTAATTCAAAATTTGATTTCTACAGCCAGCTTCAATCAATGTCAAGAAATTAACAGAATTAAAACAAATTGCTTCTCAGAATTAAAAAAATATTTTTAAAAACAATTTCTTCAAATGATACATTTATTATTAGAATAGTAAGCTTGCACCAAATAAATTATGCAGATTTTTAAAATAAATATTTAAATCATTCCATATTTTCAAAAGTAACAAGTATCAACCTCTAGTAGTTGTGACATGTTTAGGTTTAAAAACTCGGTGATGGTGATGGACCAAACCTCTGTAGAGTAAAAAAGTGGATGTTAGTTCCACATTTATTGAAAATATATTTCGGTCTGGGTTGACCCTCGTCAGTTCTAACTATATAATAACCATCAAAATTGATAAAAAAATTTAAAAAATGTAAAAAACCACAAGAAGATAAACAAACAAAAAGATTATTCAAAATAAAAATTTGGACTGTCAAATGTTTAGGTTTTAAATTAAAGGGACTGTAAAGGAAAAAAAAGGCGGTACAGGGCAAGAACTTTAGGAGTGGATCGAGACCTATCTATCTGATGAACTTGTCTGAGATGTGGTATAGGATCATATCAAAGATAATATATGTATATATAGATAAGCTGCCAGGTACAAACAAATTGCTCAAAATTGTACTAGCCCAGCGTATCTTTGCCTCATATCCTTAATATTTCAGTCCAAGGTGACACCAATTTGTGCAAAAAAAAACATTTCAAACAAACAAAATAGTTTAAACGAATAGAAAAAGTATGAAGGTGAAATACACTAAAAAATGGCTCAATGCATGCAGAAAACAAGCTGGGATGATGTTAATTAAATAGATAAATAGATATATATATTTCTGTCTGTCTATCTTGAGGCCGCTATCAGCTGATATATCCGGATATAGACCTAGGGAAATGAATATCAAAATATATATACATGGTGTCCAAAAAAAGCAGCCCATTTAAACAAGGTTCAATTTAAAAAAATTTAAATTTATTGAACATCTCAGATGGATTGAAATCAATAAGAGGCATGTCAAAAAATAAGGTAGTTAATTCATTTTTTAATTTTATTACACTTTGCATTGATTGAAAATTAATATTATCATTGTGCTAAGTAAAAGAAAAAATTATCATTGAATTCACATTTTATTTCAATAGATAATAATAAGGGTTTACAGTTAATGATTAAGAACATTGATATAGTGATAATTGGCTTAAAACAGGCTGTGTATTGTGTAATGCATAGTGAAATGTACGCCAAAACTACATTAATAGACGAGAGCTGAAAACTTTAGAATGGTGAATATCGAAATAAATGCTTTAACTCCTGATTTTACTAAACTCGAAATTAGGTTAATACGCATTCAATATCCAAGAAAGAAGTTTAAAATACAAACAGTGGGAATCTTGCTAATCCATTCATGTTCGTCAGTAGTTATGCATTCCAGGAAAATCAAAAAGAACGGTTTAGCAAAAAATCAAAAGTGTGTCCATTGGATACTAAGATTAAGTAATCGGGGTTAAGGATATCACATTCTTAAGTTTTCATCTCAGGCCCTTTCTTTTCTGGTAATTAAAAACAAGGAAATTTCTTTCCTACAATGTAAACTAAGAGGTGGCCATTATTCATGAAAACATTTTTAATTTTTTTTTATTTGTTTAGAAGATTTACATTTTTTCGACCCTAAGGAAATTCCATAATACGGTATAACTAAAATTCAGAACAAAGCCCAAATGTTAAATTTCAAACTGTATTAATTTTTTTATTTTTGTGCTACATACCTCCAATTGATATCCAACCATAGATTAATACAGTGATAACCAGAAAACTGCAGAATAGGAAGACGACATTAAAGCAATACTGAAGTGTATTTGATGTTGTTACAAAGCAAATAGTTTTACTAGTAAGTTATTAACTCACTTATTTAGTGAAATGGGTCTGTTTACTCCGCACAATTGCTGTGTCTCATGTTTATTGAACTTTTTAAAGCCGAAACTTGAGTCTAAAAGTCGACTTCCTATTCCAGAGTTTTCTGGTTATCACCGTAACAAAACAGATAGAACAGTAGATGTCGTCTTTTCAAGAATTTGGGGTTTACGTTTACAATAATCCTTAGAAAGGCCCAAAGGAGCTATGCGCATGGACTCTCTCTCTCTTGTAATTCAACGCTGTTTGTGCGTTAGTCCTTTAGGTTTCTCCCTCATGGTTATTGTAAACAAAAACTCCTAAATCTTGAAAAGACGACATCTAGTATTCTATCTGTATTGAAATTAATCTATGTGTCAAGCATTTTAAAAATTGAACCATGCTACAAAATATAAAAGGGCATTATTTTGGGGACATTCTGTATAAATATATAAAAAAATAATAATAATAATAATAATAATGATTAAAAAATCATTAAAATAACAACAAGAACAATAATGATAATAAAATATTCAGATTAAATACCTTCAATGACATTTTTTCAATATAATGTACACTGTACAGGGTGTCCAACGAAACATGACATTAGCAAAACGAATTATTATTCCGTTTAATTAATGGTCGTCTGTGATAATTGAAATAATATGCAGCATGGAGTTGAAAACCTAATTTTAAAAGTAAAATTCTAGAGATAATAATAGCACACAGGGTTACCCACAAAGAATGAGACTTCAGAGACAATTGTGCAGAATTTGTTTAGGCCGTTTCCTTGCATTTAGAGTTCCTTGTAGTAGCTGCCAAAACTGTTATATTTCTTAATTATTCAGTAAACCATCAAAATATTAAATGCAGAAACCAAAACAAGTTTCAAATCGCCTTATTTTTAGAGTTTTCGGTCGTATTAAGCTTTAAGAGTTATCCTATAAATGATCCATGAGGGAGGGGAGCAGGAAATAAGATTTGCAAGGCTAAAGCCAAAATTGAGTTCGTCGTTACGAAGAACCGAAAAAGGAAGGTTTATTCATCATATGAGGCAGAAGAAAGGCGGAGTGTGCCAGAGAGCTCCGGCTTCATTCAAATTATTAGTATCAACCATTATCTGTTTTTTTTTTACGTTGTAAATACATTTTTTCAATACTTTGTAGTTTTATTCCCGTCAGTTTCCGGCTTTATCATTTCTTTAACTTTGACCAATTTTGAATGGTAACAATTTAGTAAAACGCTCCATTTTGTTTAAATTCCGAACATTTTTACTCCTGAAGTCAGAATGATCATTAATTACGCATATAAAATTAAGATATGTTAAATTGCGTAAAAACTCCGTTTATTTAACGCAAATTATTTGAATAATATTAGTCCTATTGTGCTAATAAGAAACCATATGTTAAATATTTTAAAATTGTATGCACACTCTTGTACTGTCCTGTTTATCATAGGCCAGACTACTTGCAATCCGAGCTTAGCTCCGGGTCCGTATGAGAACTAAAGGGGTTACATCTATGGAACTATCCGATTCGAGTTTAGCTCCGGGTCCGTATGAGAACTGAGGTTACATCTATGGAACTATCAAATTTAAGTTTAGCTCCGGGTCCGTATGAGAACTGAAGGGGTTACATCTATGGAACTTTCCAATCTGAGTTTAGCTCCGGGTCCGTATGAGAACTAAAGGGGTAACATCTATGGAACTATCCGATTCGAGTTCAGCTCCGGGTCCGTATGAGAACTAAAGGGGCTACATCTATGGAGCTATCCGATTCGAGTTTAGCTCCGGGTCCGTATGAGAACTAAAGGGGTTACATCTATGGAACTATCCAATCTGAGTTTAGCTCCGGGACCGTATGAGAACTAAAGGGGTTACATCTATGGAACTATCCAATCCGAGCTTACCTCCGGGTCCGTATGAGAACTAAAGGGGTTACATCTATGAAACTATACAATCTGAGTTTAGCTCCCGGTACGTAGAGAACTAAAGGGGTTCAATTGAACTATCCAATCTGAGTTTAGCTCCGGGTCCGTATGAGAACTAAAGGGGTTCAATGGAACTATCCAATCTGAGTTTAGCTCCGGGTCCGTATGATAGAGGGGGTTACAGGTTCAATAAAACACTAGAATTGCAATTAATGCAAGATTTTGAAAAGAAAAATGTTCTGAATGAGATTCATGTTCAGATTAGCTTAAGATTTCAATAACGATCCTAGGTGGGTAAAACACAGTTTGGTCTCAAATAAGAGCTGTTCGACTTTTACTTCCACACTAAAATACTTTTTTCAAACAATCTCATCATGAAAAAATAGTTTTAAGTAATACATAATTATTACACTTTTGTGAGCCGATCAAGAAGGTAAATTGCTCGAAGCGGGATGTACTGAGGCAGAGGATATGTAACTCGAAGAATGACAAATCCAAGGCAAATAGGTTAGGGAAACACTCTTTCCAACCATACGCAGATAGATGAGAACTTCTTGAAAATGTATATTTCAGTAACGAGGTTTCCTACAAAATACAAATTGTTATTGGCGTACATGCATATAAATAATAATAGTTAATAAAGATTAAACAGTTGAAGGGTTTTTTTATTTATTATCAATAAATGAGTATTGGAATTCTAGGTTTTGTAGGTTTAGTAGGATTGGAGATTTTAGGTTTAGTAGGTTTAGCAGGATTGGGAATCATATTTTTTTTTGCTGTTGTAAATCAATAAATAAAGGGAAATAATAATTGTTAATAAAGATTAAACAGTTGAAGGTTTTTTTTATTGTCAATAAATGAGTATTGGAATTCTAGGTTTTGTAGGTTTAGTAGGATTGGAGATTTTAGGTTTAGTGGGTTTAGCAGGATTGGGGATCATATTTTCCTGTTGTAAATCAATGAATAACGGGTTTAAAGGCACTGTTGTGAATTGATTAATAAAAGGTACTGTTGTGAATGGAACTTACAATCTAGAAAACTGTGTTGGGTCAAAAAGTTGTTTGTACTGAAATTTAATTCTTCTGAAAATAAATATTCGTCTGATTAAATAAGTTCACTATTTGATTGCAAATGATTCACTGAAAATTATGTTTAAATGGGTTCTTTTAATGCACTTTAAGTTTTACTAGCTCCATGAGGTTATTTATGCAAAATCCTTGGCAAGGTTTGGTTTGGCGGGTGGCCGGAGTACTCAACGGATTCAACGGAGATACAATTTGTCGGAGACGACTTTTGAAACAGGGTTACATTAGGGATATGGTTCACAACTTTGTATTAAGATAGAGAAATTATATATTATTTTACTGGTGTATCATGTATGTGAATCAAACTAATGAGCACATATTCAAAAAACATAACAGCTTTTGTGAAATACTTGATTTAGTGTTTTTATTGTATGCTTCGTATGAACTATTCACAAGAAAACCAATTCAAATCAATTTGAAACTTGTAGATTAAACGATTCTTTAAACTATAGTGGATTCTACTATGAAGAGATGTATTTTGATTTTGGTTAAACCATAAAAGGTAAAAAAAAAACAATACAAAATTCAGCAAGGAGAGATCAAAATGCAAGGCGTGGAGACAGAATGGCAGAGGCTTAGAGCAAGAGGCACAGAAACGGTTTTGCGGGACTTAGTAACGTGATTCTGTGTATCAAGAGGCTCCATAGGTTTTTTTTAGCGGGGCTCATGGCGGCTCTGCACCCTCTCCCACATTATCTAAATATGAAAAATCTTTCAAACATCAGTCATCACCGAACAATTGCATCTGTTAAGTTGATAATTGTCGTCTTATGCTGTTGTGCTAACTATCTTTCTTTACATCTGGATTTTACGAACACAGTTCCTTAATATTTTCCTTCCGGCCTACCAGGCCGGCGCTAGAGTGACGGGGGGGGGAGGCACATGGGACGACGTGATAGAGCCCAAAAAAAATGAAAAATAAAAAGAAGGAAACGAAAAAAGAAAGAAAGAAGGAAAAATGGAGAAAATTGGCATAAAATCTTATTTTCTTACCAATAATATGAGAAACAAAACTTATTTGGTTACACATTAGAAAATTGAAAATGCGTTTGTTGTTCTCCATAGCTCTTCAATGATTGAAAATGATTGAAAATTTATATGAATAACTAAAGTGAAATTTACTTTAAATTGACGAAATATTGGAATTCTAACATGTCCCCCCCTTACAATTCCTTGCTATGCTATACAATTCCTTCCTACAGGCCTGCACAAGTATAAAATGGCGCATAAACATAAACAAATAAATTACGATGAATGTATTTGTGGTGAAAAATATTTATGAAGTTTACAATTGAGAAATTTTGACTTTTTAAATACTAGGAATATTTATGATGGATCAACAAGAAGTCACTGCTAATAATATCTAGTTTGTCCAGTAAATCTGAAAGATGACTTGAATCGAACGTTTTGGAATCGACGCCATCTTTTTTTTGGTCGCCATTTTGTTTTTGGCCGCCATCTTGTACAAGAAGTTCATTCATGTTCCTAACTGATGTTGTGTTTTCACTCTCTGAAGGAAACCTAAATAAAAACTTTTATCAAAACTAATCTTTCCTTTTCTTCTTTAATGAAGTTCTTTTGATGATTTTCAAATGTATTTCAATTATGCAAGCTTAAGTAATTTTAAGTAAAAATATGGAATTTTTTGTGAAAAGCCTTTTCATATTTCCACTGCCCGTAAACCTTCCGTTGGGCTATGTCTGGTCCTGTAGCAAAAATTTAGGCCCGATCGGGTCAGCCGTTTTGACGTGAATTTGATAGAAACAAAGAAACAAACCAAGAATCCAAAAAAAACCTAAATACATAATTAAAAGAATAATCGACGTTATTTGGGATAGATATATAGATAGTTAGATAGATAGATAAATGAATATCTGAGGGTGGATTATTTTTCAATCATAGAAAATTTCTAAAATGCGTATCTAATTTTCAATATTTATTTTTTTGTTTTAATGTAAATGTTCTTGCGGTGTAAAAGAACAACTTAAAATTTTATCAATAATGGATAAAAAGGAATAAATAATTTAGTATTTTAGGAAGATATTCTGAAGCTTAAGTTCTAAAAATCTAAAGAATTAAATTTACAAAGAAAAAAATAATAATGAAAAAATTATTATGACAAATTGGAGGAATTAACCATGTTTTACAGGTCAATCAATTGGAATATATTTATCAATTTAATTTTGATTATTATTTCAATTATAAGAAAAGTTCTTATAAGAGTAAATGCGTTACCTAAGGGCCAGTAGTTCTAGGTTATGAATCCGACCCAGAAGTTTTTTTAATTCTTTAGATTCATCACTTTTTGATTCAGGCACCTCAAAGGTACAAGTGCTTGCTTTCATATTTTTTGTATTAGGGTGTCTATCATGGTTCAGTATTTGTTGTGCGGATTTCTCAGAAATTTCTTCAAATTCACTAGAAAATCAGATTTTAATTCTCAAAAAATAATTTCAAAGAGAATATAAAGTCTCTTCCTTGGAAGAATGAAATTAAGTTTAACAGAAGATTGAATTGTTATAAAGAATTCTTAAGATAAAATTAAAATCATTCCTTGAATAGGAATTGTTGTGAGATGTTTCAGTTTCCAATTTTCCAGCACGTGGAGACTGAACGCTGTTTCCATCACGTGGAGATTGAACGCTGTTTCGAAAATTCATGAAAGGATTTTTGGTAGATTTTCTGTTCAAAGAGTTTTCAAGAAAAGACAAGGATTTTCGGGACTGTCGATTAGCAGGGAAAATCGTTTTCGACACACCCATTTGATTTGTCGTCGAGTCTTGTTCCATTCGACGTGACCGCGCCATATTGGATCTCTGATGATGGAGTAAAGTTCCTTTTGGTCTTGATATACTTTGGTTCAGAGATTTCTTCCTTGAAACTTCAACCTAAGCAAAAAATAATCACATTAAACTAAAAAAACAGGGTTTGGACCTCTCATTGATTTAATTGCAACAAAAATAAACAGAGTTAGGACCTTTCATAGATTTAATTGCAACAAAAATAAACAGGGTTAGGACCTCTCATAGATTTAATTGCAACAAAAATAAACAGGGTTAGGACCTTTTATAGATTTAATTGCACAAAAATAAACAGGTTAGGACCTCTCAGAGATTTAATTGGAACAAAAATAAACAGGGTTAGGACCTTTCATAGATTTAATTGCAACAAAAATAAACAGGGTTAGGACCTCTCATAGATTTAATTGTCACACAATTTTATCGATTTGATATAGACATAGTTAGATAGATATAGACATAGATAGATAGACAGACATTACAAAGATATCCAGGGGTGTATATTTTCTTGAAGAACCTTTTCTCCCCCAGATGTTAGACATGTTTGTGCATTTTTAATTATTAACTGATTTATTCGCTTTATTAGAGGAAATAAATAAATTTTTGGTAATTAGTATCAAAAGGAAGAGGAAAAAAATTTCTACCCCCCCCCCCCGAGCATTTAACACCTTGAAGGAGAGAAGGATTCTGTAAAATATCTACCACTTAACATATCTAAGGAATTTTATAAACAGCTTGTTGCTTTTCTATTTTAAATCGTCCAAGACTGAAATGTAAAGGATATCATGTATTACAGTGCTAAGGATCCATTTAATTTTGATACGGATCCGAATCTGGATCCTGGATCCGAACTGGAAAAAATGGATCCTGATCTGGATCCAGGTCATTTCTTTAAGATTTACTGAATTTTTAGTTTTATTTTTTTCGCTTATTTTTATCCTAAAACTTGACGAACCATCCAGAAACGAGGAAGGTTTCAGGAGTAAAAAAGTTTTTTTTGCAGTTTTTGGTTAATATTTTACTCCTTGGATCCGGATCCGTATATTTTTGCGGATCTGGATCCAGTAAGCCAAAATCTTGCGGATCTAACGGATCCGGATCCTAAGCACTGCATGTATAATTTGTCAATGTCATACTAGGTCGTAGGAAATAACCTTACGTCAAAAAAAAATTCTATTTGCGTTGTCTCCGCCTCTAAATCTAAATCATTTTCAACAATACATGTTTCCAAATAGGTATTATTTTTCCTAAAACTTTATTTCACTAGAAGTGTAGTAAATGTAGCAAATAAATTTGTAAAAAAAGGTCCATTCATTTTCCCTGCAGCATTTTATATAATTTGTATAAAAAATATAAATAAAATTGTAAAAAAGCGCAAAAATATTTTTTTTAAATATTAAGTTCTATTTATATATAAAGTTGTAATCTCTAGTTGTCTGTCTGGGTGTCTATCAGTTTATTTGTCCGATCAAAAATCAGGAACACCTGGACTGATTTCCCTCAAATTCTTATTGGGGAACTTGGGAGAGTGACGGGAATGTTTTTAAGCTTGTTTTCACTGGGTCGATTTTAAAAGCGAAAATTTAGTTTCCCGGTAAAATCGTTTCCAAGCTAGTCTATATATATAAAGTTGTAATCTCTGTTTGTTTGTTCTGTTTGTCCGATCATAACTCGGAAACACCTAAACCGATTTCCTTAAAATTTTTATTCTTTTATAAAGAAAACTGTTTCAAGGCAAAGCTGGGCTCCCAAGCTTTCTATCCAAACACAAGCTCTTGCTCATATATACATTATATGTTGGCTCACACAGGACCGAATTGGACGCCATTTTGAGAGGGAATTCATGACTATCCTGGGGTAACATAGGTAAATTTTTTTTTTGGAAAATGTTTTTAAAATTTAACGGGCAATGCTGTGCTAGTATCTACTAAATTAGTATTAAATTTATTTTTTTAAAATCGTAATTTTTTTTGACCTTAGGTTTAGTTTGTCTGGAGTTGAGACTAAGTGCCAACTGTACCATTTTCTCCTCCTCATGATGAGCATGAATAGACTCGATATATTTCAGGTTCTGTGCCAAACTCAGAACACTCACTCCGTTCTCGGACAAAATTGTTCCGATGTCAACTAAACAAGTTTTTAAAAATTATTCACGTTAAACTGAAGTAAATTGAACGTTAGATTGAAATCTTAAAGGTATTAATGGGACCGTTCACTTATTTGGGCGATTTGAGGGTAAACTAAATAGCCTATTAGCTAATCATTGGTATAAGTCTTACTTTTCAACGACAACTGTGGCTTGAGAAAGCCGATTTATCCTTCAGAATTTCAGCGCAAAGGTTTGACACCGTTGCACTATTTGATGCTTGTTGTCCTGGATTTTTAAAAATTTTTAAATTGTCTATTTTCAAAATATAACTTATTTTAAACATTTGACAATTTGATACGTTTTTCCTACTTCCCCCGAAATCCCCGTGATTTATTGAAGAGTTATAATCTAGGAACCGGTTTCTATGAAAGAGAAAGTCGTCTTTGTATAAACGTTTAAATAGTGTCTATGCAAAGGTATCAAACCTGTGCGCTGGAATTCTAAGCGATAAATCGTCTTTTTCTCCGGTCATAGATATATTCAATAAGTAAGACTATAATACCCATAAACAGCTAATATAGGTTAATTAGTTTACCATAAAATTACCCAAATCATGACTCCTTTAATTGAAGAGTTGTTTAATAGAACAAAATTGTTTGAACTTATAATATTCATCCGGATAATTTTTTCCCTCATATATGTGCGTAAAATCGTAAATAAAAATCGAAACGAGGTAACAAATTCGTATCAGTTCTGTCGCATAAATTTGACCTCCATCGGTCTAGTTTCACTGCAATAACCGTTTGTAAAACAAGCAAATTTTGAGAAATCAATTGAACAATTGCCATAACCTTTATATTCCCAATTCCTATATCGTTGCAAACTGACGATGTAAATGTATTTAAACTTTAACGAATTGATCTATTAGAATTCAAGTTATACGCTTTCTGTCCCTTTAAGATAATAAAAAATGTGAGAATAATTTACCTAAATTTTCACTAAAATCCATGAATCTATCCGGAAAGATTATTCCCGGAGCCAGAGGGATGAAGGAGAGGAGGGAGGAGAGAAGGGAGGAGAGGGACCTGATAATACTCCGCAACTTACTCAGATCTAATAAATTAACATTTCTTTATTTCAATCAGAGATCTCGGTTTCTCTTTTTGTTTGGATATCGGAACAAACGCCATGACCGATTTGCCTTAAGTTTTGGTTGGGGAACGCGGAAGAAATTTTGTAAGCTTGGTTTTTGAGTGAGTGGGCCCACCAAGCGCGGGTAAACGGCGGAACTAACTATGAGGACCCTGGGCAAATCTGGGTTCTGAAGGTAGTCTATAAAAATCAGTAATCTCTGTTTGGTTGGATATCTTATCATAACTCATGACGCCCTTGACCGATTTTCCTTAAATTTTAATTTAGGAACTCGGTAAAACCACGGGAATGTTCATAGCAAGTGGGTTGAATTTACTTTAAACAGTTTGAGTTGCAGACAATGCTGGGTTACCAAGCTAGTATATCTATAAAGTTGAAATCTCTGTTTGTTTGTATGAACGATCATAACTCGTGAACCATTCGACTGATTTGCCTCAACTTTTGATCGGGGAACCTGGGAGAACCACGGGAATGTTCTTTGCTTGATTTAAAAGTTTCAAGATGAGTAAGTTGACTTTTAGAAGGAAAACTTAGTTTTCAGGCAAAGCTGGGTGCCTAGGCTAGTATATATAAGGTTGTAATCTCTGTTTGTCTGTTTATTTGTTTGTCTGTCTCATGATAGGTCAGGAACCCCTTGACCTATTGGCTTAACATTTTGATTGGGGAACTCCGTATACCCACGGGAAAGTTCTTAGTTTGGTTTAAAAATCTAAATTAAGTGGGTTGACTTAAATAGAGAAAGTTAGGTTTGCAGGCAAAGCTGGGTTCCCAAGCTAGCACAAACATAAATCTTTTGTTTTTTTGGATGTCCAATCATAATTCATGAACCCCTTGAATTTTGATTTTGGAACTCGGTAGAACCGCGGGAATGTTCTTAGCTTGGTTTGAACGTTTGAATGAAAATTTTAATAAAAAAAAGATAAGCACTAAGCAGGTATGTTCAATTTTTGTACGATTTGCTGAAGAAAAATATGAGAAATGGGACATCACATGGAAAGATTTTCACCCCTTTTGATACTTTTACCCTAAAATATCCGCATAAAAATCATTTCTTTTCATTCAATTCAGCGAATAAAACCATAATATTTCAGGTACACTGTACAGTGTACAGTTCTGTACACATTGAACTCTCCACAATTTCTTCGGTCCGTGTACTCCAGATTACTGGAATGCGCGCTAAAAGCTTAGTTTAGGGTGATAAATAGTCGGATTTTTGATTAATTTCCAAAATGCATGGTAATTTTGACATTGACAGAGATGAGATATATCGCACGATAGAATGACATACTTTGCAGCTTTATATGATAAGGTGACGAAATAGATAGATTGCTTACGCAATCTGTTTTAGCTCGTTTCTTCTGGATAAAAATAATTAATTATTAATTTTGCCCTTAAACTACTCTGATGTAAATATCACATAAATTCATTAAGTTTTCAGAATTATATTCGGATCCGTGTAAAAGACATTAAATTGTTAAAACAAAATACGAGTNGATCTTATTTTGTAGTTTATACGCATTACTTTGAATGAGAACTTCGAGAGAATCTAATATTATTAAACCTTAAATCTGAACCTACGTTTAATCTTATACAGGGTGAGTAAATAAAAACAGGGATTATCAATGTTTTGGACAAAATTTTCAAAATTTGTATTTTGTTCGGATTTTAGGCATAAATAAAATAAAATGTGATAAATAATAAAAGTTCAAAAACATGTTTTTTTTCAATGTTCCAAAATATTTTAGAATTTTTTTTATTACATTTTTTTTATTTATGATAAAAAAGTTCAAAAATATTTTTTTTTCAATGTTCTAAATTTTTTTTATGATTTTTTTTTATCAAATTTTATTTTATTTATGCCTAAAATTAGAACAAAATATTAGTTTGGAAAATTTTGTACAATGCATCGATAATTCCGTTTTTTTATTTTTGACTTACCCTGTATAGTGTATATTCTATGGAATACATTAAAGTGTAAGCAATCAGTTTAGTAAGGTTCGTTCAGAGCAAGATAAATTGGATTAAGGCCAGGGAGATGTATTTAATAAATCCATCCATATTTTATTTGCTAGTCTAAAAGGGAATACATGGGGGGAGGGGGTAAAAGCTGGAATGAGCTAAATAAAAATTTCAAAGATTAAAAATAAGGTTTTAATTTGTCAACTTAAAGTTAATGAAGGAATTGAGTTCTTGCCACAAACTCTGATTTTATAATCTCTATTTTATTTCTACGCTCCATCAGCTTAAATCTAGCAATAGAAAGATTTTATTCCCATGCAAATATCAACAAAAGGAGCAGGNCTATTTCTTAGATAATTTTACCTGTTCTAGTAGACCCATTTCTTAGATAATTTTACCTGTTCTAGTAGACCTATTTCTTAGATAATTTTACCTGTTCTAGTAGACCCATTTCTTAGATAATTTTACCTGTTCTAGTAGACCTATTTCTTAGATAATTTTACCTGTTCTAGTAGACCCATTTCTTAGATAATTTTACCTGTTCTAGTAGACCTATTTCTTAGATAATTTTACCTGTTCTGGTAGACCCATTTCTTAGATAATTTTGATTCATCTCATTCTTAAACCCAGCTATATCCTGCTCAACCTTAAGTAAAATCCAATCCAATCCAATATTATATGTATCAATTTTTCGAAAGATTTAAAACTTTTAAAAATAACCAAAATAAAGTTAAAAAAGGAAAATGTAATTTAATCATATCTTGTTGATTGTGATTAACGGATTTAATAAATAAATTTTTACAGCGAAAATTATAAATAATTATGTGTAATCTATATTAGCCAAAGCTGTAAAGAGTATCGTTGTGAATCAGATGAGAGTTTTCTACCTGATAAAGCATTCTGTTAAACCTAGCGTTGAAATCCCTTGTTCTCCTTCCAACCTTCTCCTTCTCTCCCTCCTCTAGTACACTAGCTGAACCCTGAATAGGAACTAGTTAAACGTAGCGTTGAACTCCCTTGTTCTCCTTCCAACCTTCTCCTTCTCTCCCTCCTCTAGTAGACCAGCTGAACCCTGGATAGAAAATAATTAAACTAGCTTTGAAATCCCTTTGATCTCCTTCCAACCTTCTTCTCATCCTCCTCTAGTACACTAGCAGAACCCTGAATAGAAACTAGTTAACCTAGTGTTCAAATCCCTTGATCTCCGACCAACCTTCTCCTTCTCTCCCTTCTCTAATAAGCTAGCTTAACCCTGGATAGAAACTAGTTAATCCTAGCGTTGAAATCCCTTGATCTCCTTCCAACCTTCTTCTCTCCTTCCTCTAGTACACTAGCTGATTCCTAAAAAGTAACTATTTAAACGTAGTGTTGAACTCGCTTGTTCTCCTTTCAACCTTCTCCAATCTCTAAAATTTTACAAATCAAAAGTTTCCACTTTAGGAGAGTCTCTTTGATACAAAATTTATCAATTTGTCCCACAAAAAGCACATTTTAATATAAAATAATTTTACGCTGAGGAACAAAAATTTTATTCAAAAAATTAATAATTGTTAAATATCTAGTATTTTATTAATCATCTAATTTAGTTTTCTGTGAACTAAATTTTGTATGTTTTATAAAAAAAATAATGTTTTATATAGTTTAACCTAGAACTTTAAGAGCCTTCAAAGGAAATTATAAAATGTCGTTTTGACCATTTTTCAATGGGTTTAATACGATTATAGCTAAATCTCAGTAACTGTTAATATAAATAAATAGCCATGAAATTTGCTGAAACAGTTTCAAAGAGCTCAATATGATTATCCAATTAAAAAACTAAATATCTGCAGCATTTCATTATTTGTAGGTTAAAACGAAATTTTAGAAATTCTTTCAATGTGTCCAAAGTTCTGGGTTAAACTGTAAAAAAACAAGTCTTAGAATAACATTAGCCCTTCAAAATTGATACCCAGTCACCAACCTTAGTAGCTCTGATACAGGCAAATATATCCTGAAATATCCGGTTCAAGTTCTCTACACCAGTCTTCAGATATCCAAGGTTCTCGTTGAAGCGTTCAGAGTTATCTGTTCTTATCGTACTTGTACTTCGACCCCTCCCTTCTTGAGTGCGTTTATTTGATTTAATTGATTGATCATGGATCTCCCTTAGTTTGATTGCTAATTGATCTGACTCTACCATAGTTTGGTTGATTTCAGATATGGCTGGTGCGTTTTCAGAATCACTGGTCTTATCAGAGTCTTCATCCTCACAGTCCTCCTCACTTTCTGTATCTGAATCACAATTATTTTTTTCCAACCGGTGAGGGCGAAAATTTATCTTTTTCACGATTGGTTTAAAAGAATTCTCCATCTTTGATATTTTGGCGGGAGATTCCATGATGGTGTCCACCATCTTGGCATTTTTGGTGGGAAAACTGTTCAGTTGATGATTTTGTGGCCCACACGTGGTAGTTTCCACCATCTTGACATTTTTGGCGGGAAGACTGTTTAATTGAAGATTTTGTGTTGCTACATAAAGCTCATCATTTATCTCTTCTTGTGCCTATACAAATAAAAAAAAAGTTTTGTTTGATTTAAGTGCTACTGCTAGAAAAATTAAAACAAAATTTTGTGCCAATACAGTTAAAGCTTTTAAAAATAATCTGTTTTGTTTATCAGTCATCGTTTTTATCTTAAAAAAAATATATTTACAATTATTTTTATATTTCTCAAAGAATTTATTTTTATTTTTATTTTTTTTTGTGTCTTAGCATAAAAATGAACTCGCCTCAACCTTTATTGTTTTATCCATATATCTTTGCAGCCTTATGGCATAGATGTCTGCAATATTAAAAACCATGAATTCGGCTACATCAAGCAGTCAAAGTTTATACCATAATGTTGCAAAGATTTAGGAAAGGAGATTTAGAGTGTGAGTCTAGAAATACGATTTATTACCTGTCTGATTGCTTGCTCAAGATCCTCTTCTGTGAAAAACTTGAGTTCAGTTTTCAGATTCTCAAGATGACTGAAAAAAGAACATATATAAGTTATGAGAATGGACAAATGAACATCAATATTTAATTTCCAAGGTAAACAGCATCCTGTGAAAAACAGCGACAGTTTTTCCAAGGTAAACAGCATCCTGTGAAAAACAGCGAAAGTTTTCAAATTCTCAAGATCACTGCACAACATTCAAATTTGTTTATAAAGAAGCAAACAGTTTGTAAAAAATATTCAGAAATGCGATCATGGAGCATTAAAGTGGAAAAAAATTAAGGAAATCAGAAAATTATCCAGTTTTCAGCTCCAATTTGGCTATTATTCATTATTTTGCAAAATGGGTTTTCCGTTAAATATGTATTGGAAAGACGCATCTTTAAATGCAACATAACGACATACTTTAAGAAAAAAACACTTACTAGCGTATTTTTATCACAAAAGGCAATTTGCGATTGACAATTTTAATTTTAGCTAAAAATGCCTTTTGTAAATGTTTCTCAGAATTAAAAAATACATTAGTATTTAATACTTGAAATGATTCCTCTCAAATTTGTTAAAAATCGTTCACCCTGAATATATATGTTTATTTTTACAACGTGGTCACATTCAAGTAAACTTTAATATTTATTTAAATAAACAAATAAAAACTATAGTTTAAATGAGAAATGACTTTGTTAAAATCATAATAGAATTTCACTCAGATATGTCCAAAAAATTATGATATATATATTTTTGGAGAGCGATTTCAAATATGAACTGAAACAAGTTATGAGTAAGTTATTGAAAAATCGAACTCTTTGTATATTTATCAAGAGTTAAATTCGAAGCTACAGAGTGTTTCTTTACAAACGATAATTTTATTTCGCTCGCATTTCAGTGATACAACAAAACATGAGTAAAAGATTGGACTGTATTTTTGTAAATGTGCTTAAAAATATCAATTGTAGAGAAACACCTTCTCGTCTTGAATAAAGAATTTCTCTTCATGTTCTCCTGAATTATTCTTTAAGGCACAGATGTGTGCTGTAAACAAGTTAACATTTTTTACAGTTCTTTTTATCCTTTTCAGATTAAATTGAATACACTTGGTTCTTCATTACTACACTGGAGATTAAAAAAAACATAATTTTGAACCTTTAATCAAAGAATTGAAACATTTCCCCGAATAATATCAATTCTTCAATAGATTAAAAAATCTATTTAACGATCCGGGTAATAATACTCTAAGAGTAAAAAGTAATTTAATTTTTCTTCTTCAAATTTTCAAACTTTGATTAAGAACCTTTCTTTTCTCTGCGACTTTCAGGATGCTTTATGTTCCTCTCTATCTCTATCTTCATTAATATTAATTCTAGAATTTACAGATTAAAAGAAAATAGTATGATCAATGAACATAAATCTTCCCTGGAGTCAATGTTAGGTGTCTTAAAAATCAAAAATTATCATTATTATCATTGAAATTATTCTCTGCATTTGACAAAATAAAATAAATTATGGGCAGAAAATGTCAAAGTCCATGTTTTCATTTCTTCATAATTTATAACCAAGAATAGCTTACAAGATAAAAAGGATTAGCATCCATAAATATTCGATTCCGTCAACCTGACATTAAAAAGGATTAGCATCCATAAATATTCGATTCCATCTACCTCACATCAAAAAGATCTGATATTTGAAGATCGGGTTTAATCATCATCAACGGCAGGGGGTAGGCAGCCTTTGCCTCCATTTTCAATCTGAAATTTTAAACATTTCACACATATAGATTAAAACACGTTTATTTACAACAGAACAAGATTTTAACAATCAAAATGGTATTTTTCGTGATTTATATTTTTCTTGAGATCGAAATCAACAAAATTACATTAGATATTATGAAGTTTATTATTTATGAAATTTTACTAATCCAAGTTTTCTCATTTTCTAATATTTTTTCCATCTCAAATTCCTCAAATACTGATAATATCAAAATAAAAAAATCTTAAGGCCAATTTTTTACTCTGAGACGAATTAAATAGAAAAGAATTTTTTAAAACTTATTCAAAAAGCTTTCTGTTTAAAGGGTCTTAGTCGTTAGTTTGTGAGCATGACTTTTAAGATGAAAAAAAACATTAATAATTAGGTTTAGTCAACACACTTAGCGAATATACTGTTAAACAAACAATTTGTTCGTCGACTAAACGTAGAAAAGTCGAACTTTAGACGTCGACACAAGAAGGTCTCCATTGAAGAACTGAGTCTCTATTACAACATTGCCGTTTAATACTTTAGCAGGCATCATCTGGACAACAGTACTCATTTAAGGACTTGGGTAAAGAATAAAAATGCGGTGACGAATATCTTTTATTTTAACCTCTTAATTGTTTCTTAATCTTTCAGCATTTTCTCGTAAATAAAACAAAATTAAAGAATGGGGTAAATCTAAAAGTGATTAAATGCACTCACAGAAAGGGATAAAGAATATGAGGGTAAATAATAAGAGAACTAGGTTATAGCCTTTGTCCATCTTCTTTTTCAACTATTAATTGTTGCTCAATTTTTCGTCATTTTCTTTTCGATAAAACGTGTTTGACAATTTGAGAATGGGGTGTTAAATATGAGGACTGGGGTTCCTGAGATTCAGGAGCTGCTTCTATAAGACTCTGCCAGGTATTTGTGGATTCAGGAATAACAAATCCAAATTCAAAATTCCACTCCTCCAGACACCTTCCTAAATACAAGGTGGCGGAGATTATCCTACCTTCCTAAATACAAGATGGCGGAGATTATCCTACCTTCCTAAATACAAGATGGCGGAGATTATTCTACCTTCCTAAATACAAAATGGCAGAGATTATTCTACCTTCCTAAATACAAGATGGCGGAGATTATTCTACCTTCCTAAATACAAGATGGCGGAGATTAATATTATTATCAGCTCTTCAAGGGACTGTCATTGTAATCTTAAGAGACTCATAAAAGGCATATGCCTGATTCACAGTGCTTATTCTAATCAATTGTGTAAGATCAAAAAGCTTTGTCTGATCAATTGTGTAAGATCACATCGCTTTGTCTAATCAATTGTGTAAGATCACAAAGCTTTGTCTGATCAATAGTAAAAGATCACATCGCTTTGTCTAATCAATTGTGTAAGATCACATCGCTTTGTCTAATCAATTGTGTAAGATCACATCGCTTTGTCTAATCAATTGTGTAAGATCACAAAGCTTTGTCTGATCAATAGTAAAAGATCACATCGCTTTGTCTAATCAATTGTGTGCTTTGTCTAATCAATTGTGTAAGATCACATCGCTTTGTCTAATCAATTGTGTAAGATCATATCGCTTTGTCTAATCAATTGTGTAAGATCATATCGCTTTTCTAATAAATTGTGTAAGATCACAAAGCTTTGTCTGATCAATTGTATAAGATCACATCACTTTTCTGTCTTATTTCTACTTATTTCTTTTAGTTAGAGTTTCAGAAACCACAAATGATAATGATCAAAGACAAAAATAAAGATATCTGGATTATACTTGATCAGATATAGTTTTGTTAATTGGACATGCGTCAGAAGTAAGTTTGAATATTTTAATTATCTTTTTTTATGATGTATAGGTATATGGCGTACAAACAGAAAACAGAACTGTACTGTTTAGTGTAAACTACACTTCTGTACTGTTTTGTCTAAACTACTGTACGCTACTGTACTGTTTTGTGAAAACTATTGTACACTACTGTACTGTTTTGTGTAAACTACTGTACACTACTGAACTGTTTAACGCAAACTACTGTAAACAACTGTAAATAATTGATATTACCTTTAAATAACACTTTTTGTTCCAAACGAAATTTTTCCATAGGTTCTATCGATGAAAAGTTAAGTTCCCTAAAAAATGTTGAATAAAACAGATCGATAAATGTATAAGTGGATAAGCGGATAAGTGGATAAGACCAATGAACAAATGAACCAATGAACCAATGAACCAGTGAACCAGTGAACCAGTGAACCAGTGAACCAGTGAACCAGTGAACCAGTGAACCAGTGAACCAGTGAACCAGTGAACCAGTGAACCAGTGAACCAGTGAACCAGTGAACCAGTGAACCAGTGAACCAGTGAACCAGTGAACCAGTGAACCAGTGAACCAGTGAACCAGTGAACCAGTGAACCAGTGAACCAGTGAACCAGTGAACCAGTGAACCAGTGAACCAGTGAACCAGTGAACCAGTGAACCAGTGAACCAGTGAACCAGTGAACCAGTGAACCAGTGAACCAGTGAACCAGTGAACCAGTGAACCAGTGAACCAGTGAACCAGTGAACCAGTGAACCAGTGAACCAGTGAACCAGTGAACCAGTGAACCAGTGAACCAGTGAACCAGTGAACCAGTGAACCAGTGAACCAGTGAACCAGTGAACCAGTGAACCAGTGAACCAGTGAACCAGTGAACCAGTGAACCAGTGAACCAGTGAACCAGTGAACCAGTGAACCAGTGAACCAGTGAACCAGTGAACCAGTGAACCAGTGAACCAGTGAACCAGTGAACCAGTGAACCAGTGAACCAGTGAACCAGTGAACCAGTGAACCAGTGAACCAGTGAACCAGTGAACCAGTGAACCAGTGAACCAGTGAACCAGTGAACCAGTGAACCAGTGAACCAGTGAACCAGTGAACCAGTGAACCAGTGAACCAGTGAACCAGTGAACCAGTGAACCAGTGAACCAGTAAACCAGTGAACCAGTGAGCCAGTAAACCAGTGAACCAGTGAGCCAGTAAACCAGTGAACCAGTAAACCAGTGAACTGGTGAACCAGTGAACCAGAAAACCAATGAACCAGTAAACCAGTAAACCAGTGAGCCAGTAAACCAGTGAACCAGTGAACCAGTGAAAAAGCGAACAAGCAAGCAAGCTAGCAAGCGAACAAGCAACAAGCGAACAAGCGAACAAGCGAACAAGCGAACAAGCGAACAAGCGAACAAGCGAACAAGCGAACACGTGAACACGTGAACACGTGAACACGTGAACACGTAAACACGTAAACACGTAAACACGTAAACACGTAAACACGTAAACACATGAATACATGAATACATGAATACATGAATAAATGAATAAATGAATAAATGAATAAATGAATAAATGAATAAATGAATAAATGAATAAATGAATAAATGAATAAATGAATAAAAGAATAAATGAATAAATGAATAAATGAATAAAAGAATAAATGAATAAATGAATAAATGAATAAATGAATAAATGAATAAATGAATAAATGAATAAATGAATAAATATAACCTGCTAACAGCACGACATTTCAGAATTTTCTTCGGTACTCTGGCTTCATGCTCATTCTCTGGGTCAGACAGATCTTCGTTACCCTGTAGGTAAAGATAGATATTCAGATACTGGGTCATTCCATGAAGAAGGAATACAACATTTGGCAAAAAAAATAGATTCTTCTAGAACTTTTGAGGACTGATCTTGTTAAATGGGTTCAGACTATCTATCTATCTATTATGACTCCCCAATAACACAAGTGTTACCAGGTAACAACCCCTCCCTGCAACCCAGAGCCCCCTTTTGGGGTGCGTGGATCACAGAGTTAGCATGACATGTGCAATGATACTGTTATGCCAGAGTGGCGGTAGCCGAGCCGTGAAGCTCAAACTACCGAAGCCTGTATCTACAGCCTGGTATTAAATACGACTAAAGTTTTCCTTTAAAAATTTCCTATGGCCCTCTGGCCAGGCCACTGCTCTATACTACCAGCTACTACCAGCTACTACTTCAATGGCTACTAGCTAGGCTAGTTTTCCATAAGCGGCCTTGCCTCACAAGCTTCATTGGTTCCCCGCTACACTAGGGTTCTATAAACTAAAAACATTAGCAAATACACTCTCAAGATTGTACATATAACTTTCTTTTCTAAAATCGAAGAGGAAGTATTTAAGATTTGGGGTCAGACGTGATTTGAGTTTTGAATTTTTTTTTTTTTTTTTGGGGGGGGGGGATCAAAATTCTTAAGAAATTTTTGAATTTTTTTTTTGCTTTTGTAATGAAAATTTGATGAGATTTCAAAATCTATCAAAGTTTTTGACGTAGGTCTAAAATTAAAAGTTTTAAAAGGATGTTAGACGTTTGTAGTTCACTCTAATTCGACCAACATTTTTTAAATGGCCAAAACCTCCCAAAATTTCTATAAAAAAAGGCTTGGTGGCTATTCATGAACTTAAGAACTAGAATTTTAAGTTTGAGAAGAATCTATTTTTTTCGTATTCCTTCTTCATAATGTGGTATGCGATTATATCAAATCATTCAAGACGAATTTCGATTTGATTTTGAATTAAGTCAAGCTATTAAACAGCATGAATACACAAAAACTCAGAAGTCAAGAGAAGTTATCAAATAAAAAAAGCTCTCCTTGATTACTTGTAAACTAGTGATTCTAAAAATGCTTATTGACAATCAAAAATTAAATAAAAGTCGTCTTCATTTTTATTGATATAATCGCCTACGACTGAAATAACTGAATATAGAAAGATAGATAGGTAGAAAGATATATAATAGATAGATAGATAGATAGATAGATGGAAAGATAAATAGATGAGTAAATGAAAAAATGATTAGATATGGAATGGATGAATAAATGGTTAGATACCTAAATACTGGATAAATAAATAAGATGGATAAAGAAGTAAATTGATCAATAAATAGATATATAGATAGACAGATAGATAAATGCATAGATGAGTAGTTGAAAGGATGGATAGATATGGAATCAAAATTGATAAATAAATAGAAATATAGCTTGTGTACTGAGTACTGACCTGCCATAATATTTTGCCAGTATCCGCGTCTCTAAGATTCATCCAGTTGACCCTAAACCCAGACATTATATCTTCCGCCTTGGACGGCATTCTTTCTCAATACCTAGAACAATTCACAGTGCTCAACACCTTTAGAGACGACTTCAAGAGACCCTTTATGTTCAGAGTAAATGTTCCATTCACAACAGTACCATTTAAGCCACAGTCTGAGTACAGATGATAAGATGTACTTAGTGTTCTTTCTGAAATTGATGATTTACATATACGGAGGCAAAGGAAACACTTCAGGATTAGAAAAGCTTTGTATTACAGAAAAGAAAGAAAAATTGTATTTTTTCACTTTCGTGTTTTTTCTTTCTGATATAGAAGTTTAGATTAATCTTATTATGTTGTTAGATGAGGAGAACCAAGATGATTTTATTAGAAGTTTTTATATACTCTCTGCTAAGGTAATAACAGGATGGGAGGGGTCAACTAATACTCCATATCCGGTTTACTTGCGACGGGAGGGGTCAACTAATACTCCATATCCGGTTTACTTGAGACGGGAGGGGTCAACTAATACACCATATCCGGTTTACTTGAGACTGGAGGGGTCAACTAATACTTCAAATCCGGTTTACTTGAGACTGAAGGGGTCAACTAATACACCATTTCCGGTTTACTTGAGACGGGAGGGGTCAACTAAAACTCCATAACCGGTTTACTTGAGACTGAAGGGGTCAACTAATACACCATATCCTTCTCCTTGAGACAGGAGGGGTCTACTAATTATCTATATAATTCTACGGGAGGGGTCAACTAATACTCCATATATTTCTCTTTGAGACAGAGGGGGTCTACTAATACTACATATATAATTCTCCTTGAGACGGGAGGGGTCTACTAATACTACATTTAATTCTCCTTGAGACGGGAGGGGTCTACTAATTCTACATATAATTCTCCTTGAGACGAAGGGTCTACTAATACTACATATAATTCTCATAGAGATATCCAATTAACAATAATATCTAATTTCGGTTAATATCTGATCCCCTAATGGAGAGAGGACACTCCGCTAATAATAAATGACAATAATTGTGACATGGATAGAAAAACAAATNGTGGTAAGGGAGAGGAGAAGGATAGTTTGACGTCCTACTGAATGAAATATTTTAAGAACGTTCATGGGATGACTTATTAAATGGACTTTATCAACATATATGCGAAAAAAACTTGTATAAAAACTTTTCACTACAATTTGTTTTTCAGTAAGTGGATAAATAAGTGCCATATAAAGAAATATAAAGACAACTCGTTCTTACAAATTTCCCCCCCCCCCCCATTGCTAGAGAATTTTTTTGGGGTTTCTACGCTAAATTTAGTCATGAGGAAGAGTTTTTGGAGACAAGGAAGCCCTACAGGTTCTTTACTTATTGCAGAATTAGATGAAAAATCTATTTAACTTTTGCAGAATTAAAGAAAATCTCTCTTTAGAATAACTTGTTTTATCTTAAGTATATATTTTTCACTAAACGGTTCTTTTCATTTTCAATATTCTAATAATATTAGGAATATCAGCAGGACATTTTCTCGTTACAGGGATTGTCAAGGTATTTTTTTCTTGTCAAAGGGACCACCATAATTTTAAGTTATCTGGAGAAGAAAAAATTGTCAATACAAAAGTTATGGAGACATCTTTATTTATATATGAATTTTTTTTCTTCTTCTGAATTGCAGTTTTTCTTTTAAGTGCATTGCAGATTTAAAAAGAGAAAAGAATTGACAGAGCTCAAAACTTTAGAATGGGATATCCTTAATCCCAATTTGTTAATTAATCTGGAGATTAATAACAAGAGGAGAACAAGCATTATTTAATCTGGAGATTAGGAAAAAGAGGAGATCAAGCATCGATCTCGATATCCACCATTCTAGTTTTCAGCTCAGTATTACTTGGTTTTCAAGGTAAAAACGATGATATATAACCAGATAGAGGTTATACAATTGGGAAATTATTTTACCTTCTCATCTTTATTTCCCATTTCAAATACATTTTCTCAAAAGTTAGTATTTTAAAATAAAAAATATATAATTTAAAGAATATTGTTAGAATTTAAAAAATTTCTCCCCCCCCCCCCCCTCCCGAAAGTCTTAACTCTTAATATGAGATAAAAGAAAGAATGTGAATGATATTAGGTATAAAACTGTCAGGCTATATTCTCATTAATAAAAGGGTAAAACCATACATCCACCTTCTATTTCTATGTAGTATGTACAGGGTGAGTAAAAAAAGTGTGATTTGCGGCGCCTGTTACAAAATTGTACCTTTTTTGTGCAACTCTCCTTTATGGTGTTTTTTTCAATATTTTTCGAAAATTTGTAGTTTTTTGGTACTCCAATGGCCCCAAAAAAATCCGCGAACCTTTTTTTTCTCTCAAAATCAAAAGTTCAGATAAAAAAATGTGTAAATACATTATTTCTATCGAAATCTAAAATTTTAAAAAGGTTGAATCACAGAATCGCAGAAAATTTGCAAAATTGTCATAAGAAAATTCCCAATTTTCAGTTCAATTCTGGTCTAATTTTTACGGAAAAATTGTTTTTCAATGGCTCTTAAGGTTTCAACTGAACAGCGTATATTTGATACTTTAGAATATACTGAGAAGAAAGGAACTAGAGAATTTAAATAACTTTTCCTTAAAAAGACCAGAACTTTAAATAACGAATTTTCTTATTACAATTTTGCGAATTTTCTGTGATTCTGTGATTCAATCTTTTTAAAATTTTAGATTACGATAGAAATAATTTATATACACATTTTTGTTTTTCTAAACTTTTTATTTTGAGAGAAAAAAAGGTTCGCGGATTTTTTTTTGGGGCCATTGGAGTACCAAAAAAATTATAAATTTTCATAAAATATTGAAAAAAAACACTTTTCAAGAGAGTTGCACAAAAAAGGTACAATTTTGTACCAGGCGCCGCAAATCACTTCTTTTGACTCACCCTGTATGTACGGGTGTTTTTATAAATGTCGATTTTCTAATAAGTCCATCATTTATAAAGAAGTCTCAGTTCTCTCCAAAGCTGATGGAAGATAAGATTGGCACTTTTCATTATTGTGAAAATCTACAAAATGTAAAAAGAGAAATCTGCAAAAATTGTAAGATAAATTTTTGGCTTGAACTCCTTGGATTTTTAAACAATCCCTGAGCCCCAGATTCCAAGAGATACTATGCTTCGTGGCGTTGAAAATTTCATAGACAGAGTCAAAATTTGCTATCAAGATAATGGCGGGCATTTTAAACATTTAAAAAAAAATCTGACAATTTTTTTTTATGCTGCATTTATGCCCCCCCCCCCCCCTCTTGTAACCAGTAACTCTTACTCACTTTCAAATCCTGTAGCCATATAATTGGACTTTACCCAATAATAAGCTTTTTAGAGACTTAGATATTTTTAAAAATGATGTAGGTATTAGTGTGTAAATAATTGACATTAAAAAAAAAACACCCTGTATTGTATGTATGTTTGTATGTGTTTGCCCAAATCTGACATTCAATGTCAGGTCTGGAAAAATTTCTGTTATAAACTTTGATCCCCTAAAATCAGCTGATAATTTGTATAAAGTAGTGTCTGCTATGACAACTGTAAGTTAACTCCCCGGTGTATAACACTGGAATAGTCCAGTAGAATCAATACCAGGTAGAAATTCAGGGAATCTTAAGTAAAAAAGTTTTAAACAATTTGCAAATTGACGAAAATTTTGTAATCTATGAGAATCTATATTTACGGTAAAATTTACGGTTCTATCCTACTTTTTGCCGCTAATTCCCCCCACCTCCTCCCTTTCCCCAGAAGACATTTGAATAAGATTATTTAATGGTTAACATGGTTGAAAATTTGTTCCGCAGCCGCAAGTCTCCGAGAAAGCGGGCACCATGACAATCAAACCTGAAGGTCGATTGGAAACAACTTTCCAAGAAATTCGACACGATTAAAAAGTCGTCACAATCACATAATATTCGACACACAGCACTAGCACACTTACAGGATTTCCGACACAATTACACTATATTCATCACACTTACACGATATTCGACACAATTACAGGAAAGTCGATAAAAACACAAGATATACGACACATTTACACAATATTTGACACACTTACAGGATATTCGACAAAATTACAGGATATACGACACAATTACAGGATATTTGACACAATTACAGGATATTCGACACAATTACAGGATATTCGACACAATTACAGGATATTCAACACAATTACAGGATATTCGGCACAATTACAGGATATTCGGCACAATTACAGGATATTCGGCACAATTACAGGATATTCAACACAAATACAGAATAAGGATCAGGTGCAAAACGCCCAATGTAACAAAACGCCTAATTTCAGAACACCCATTAAAAAAACAAGTAATGTATGAATTACAAACGTTAACCTTTTTATGCAAAAAAGGCAGAAATGTTAAATCTTTTCAAAGAAAATTCGCAACTTTTCGTATTAGTTTTCAGTTTTCTGGATTCTCACGGAACAGAAGCATGACAGAAAAACTTTTTAAGAAATATAATGAAAATGGTCATGTTCTTATAGAATGTAGATACTAAAGAGTTTATAAACACAAGTTTAAATCAAGTGCTTCAAATTGTACGGATTTATAGAAATAAAGAGGCATATAACTAATTAAATGGAGGCCAGGGTGAAAACTAAAATATTTGACTAGAAGGATTATCTGAAGGAGACCTAGATGGGAACCACAAACATTTCAACAATCTCAGAAGCAGGTTCAGAAAATACAAGTCCAGGAGGTTCAGAAAATACAGGACCAGGAGGTTAAGAAAATACAGGTCCAGGAGATTCAGAAAATATAGATCTAGGAGGTTCAGAAAATACAGGCCCAGGAGGATCATTAAATACAGGTCCAGGAGGTTCATTAAATACAGGTCCAGGAGGATCATTAAATACAGGTCCAGGAGGTTTATTAAATACAGGACCAGGAGGTGCAGAAAATACAGGTCCAGGAGGTTCATTAAATACAGGTCCAGGAAGTTCATTAAATACAGGTCAAGGAGGTTAATTAAATACAGGTCCAGGAGGTGCAGAAAATACAGGTCCAGGAGGTTCATTAAATACAGGTCCAGGAGGTTCATTAAATACAGGTCCAGGAGGTTCATTAAATACAGGTCCAGGAGGTTCAGAAAATACAGGTCCAGGAGGTTCAGAAAATAAAGGTCCAGGTGGATCATTATATACAGGACCAGGAGGTTTATTAAATACAGGACCAGGAGGTTCATTAAATACAGGTCCAGGAGGTTCATTAAATACAGGACTAGGAGGTTCAGAAAATACAGGCCCAGGAGGTTCAGAACACTATTCCACAGTTTTCTGGGTTTCATTAAGAATTTTGGACGTTTTTTAATCTCACAATTTTAATACATTAATTGTTTCGAGTTTTTGACATGTTTTTACCCGCAAATATTTGACGTTTTCAGTTTTGTAATACGTCTTACACCTTTTTTTTAAAGGGAGTGACCGGCTATGTAAGGTAGTTGAACTGAGTATGCAGTGTTGTGGAAAACTTCTTTCGGATTCATTTGAGACATATTAAAATTTTTTTAAGAGCTGTAAATCCTGAGTTTGAGCGCAAATTCGACGTTCAAAACTCCTACTGTGGGGGTGGATATGTTTTCAGAATTCGTTTTTTTTAGTTTTTAAATAACAACAAAGAAAAATAAAGTAAAAATTATACAGCAATCTAATTAGATGGTTAGGAACATATTTCTCAAAAGAAAATTGTCAATAAATCAATGCTAAAATCGATTATTTTGTTAACATTATTACATTGAATTTCTTCAAATGTCGTCTTTTCAATACTAATTCTAGAAAATCTGCAGAAAATCTTTGTGAATAATGATAAACCAGAATAATGAGAAAATAGAAACTAATAATTGAACAAAATTGCTTATTTTCGATGATTTGATTAATTTTAATTTTCTAAACATGTTCATTGTTCCTATACATGACGTCTGTAGTTTATTGTAAAACTTTTTTACATTTTATGTCGTAATTATTTAATAATTTAAAAAAACTAATTCTGAAAACGTATCCACCCCCAAAGTAGGAGTTTTGAACGTCGCATTAGCGCCCAAACTCAGGATTAAAAGATCTTTAAAAAGTTTAATATGTCTCAAATGAATCTGAAAGAAGTTTTCCACAACACTGCATACTCAGTTCAAATACCTTACATAGCCGGCCACTCCCTTTAAGGAATCACGGCTCGAGCCGAAGTTTTTAAATCGCGGATTCAGTTAACATAACCCTGTGCTCTCTGTGTTTATTTTCTTTTGATAATTAACAATTTAAATGTATATGATAAATTTTTTTAATTACCTGTTTCACACTTTGAGATGAATTACTCCATATTTTTAGCTTCTGAAAAAAAGTTTCTTTTTAATTGCAAAATCTACATTTATTTATTATTGACATTTCAAATTATGTTTTAGTGACATTTAATCAGATGGAATCAAAACTAAACACAGTGCTTAGATACTGTTACCAAAATACAAAGTAACTCCTCATTAAAAATCTCCTTGAAGATCTAGAAACGATAATTTATGTAATATGTAGGTTGAATTGATTTTTGTAAGATAAACAACTGTCGTAAATGAGATATAGCCCATAACGCCAAATTTAAATGAAGGGTCACTAGAAATTAGGTGAACAATCACTTTAATTTCCGATTAAAGTTTCCAAGCTTGAATACAAAAAAAACATTGCAAATGTGCTGAGAAGTTTAGGATCGGCTGCGACGAGATCGTTTCTTCGCCGATCGTGATCTGTTAGAAACGGATCGTTTGCGAGAGCTGCGCTGAGGACTGCGTGATTCCCTTTTACGATCTCGTTTTTTTGAGGGAGATTTTGATCGTTTCCGCGTTTTAGACTTTTCTCCAGACTCTGACCTATTTCGGCGGCCTTTGCCACGATCGCCTGACTTGGATCGATCTTGACGGGATTTTCGATCTTTTGATTTTGATCGTTTCTTAGTGGATTTCTTCTCCTGAGATTTAGATCTGCGAGGAGACGGTGACGGTGATCCTCTAAAATATGAATAAGGTTGTATATTAATGATAAGTATAATAACTATCAATAAAATGCTGAAAATAGCCACAATGATAATAAAACAATCAATGGCGACAATGATAATAATGAAACTTACGACAATATCTACAATGTAAACAATGATCACAATGCTGAAAATGCCGACAAAAACGACAATGGCCACAAGTATACCATTGACGACAATGATAATAACAACAATGATGATAATAACGACAATTCCGAGTCTGACAATACCTACAATGATAACTATGACGACAATGACGACAATGACGAAGAATTAAAACAATGACAATGCAACAAGTACAATGACGACGATTTTAACAATGACAATGATAACAATACCGATAATGTCCACAATTATAACAATTACGATGATGACAATGGGGACAGTATCCACATTCCACAATGAGGAGAACGACCAAAATGATAACAAAGACAATGTTGATAATAATACTATCAGAGATGATGATATTTTTAAACTTGAACTTATTATCTCGACATCCAATGTACTTTTAAACTTGATGGTCAATGATTTATCCCTTAATAAAAGTTATCCCTGCAGCGTATGACCATCATGCGATATCGAGCAAATCAAATCTGTAAATGCGCATAAAATGAAGATCAATTTTTATCCTCAAACTCACAATACATAAGTTCTGACTTTAGATCGTACAAATTTCTGGGATATTAATTATAGTTCAATTTCTTTTACCTTTCCATTTCTTTCCTTGAGGACTTCTTTTCACCGGAAGGAGATCTTTTCTTACTTCCGCCGGAAATAGATCTTTTCCTCCGTTCACCGGATGCAGATCTCTTCCGTCGTCCGCCAGAGATTGATCGTCTTTTCCGCCCAGTTGACGGAGATCTTTTTTTTCTACCACCTAAAAAATTTCATTTATAATTATTTTATCAAAATTCAGAAATCTGCCTGTTTTGTACAGTACAAAAGGATGGATTTTTCGACTTTTAATCACTTACAGAACGATGTTTCTTTGGCCAGTACATTTTTTCTTCTTCAATTTTTATTTACCCCGACTGTTGTTGTACTTAAATCTGGAAATGTACGATTACAGCATATTCCATTTATTTATTAATCTATGTTTTCATCTAAGGAAATTTAAATACAAATAATAAATATAATAAATCTACCTGATGTCGACCTCTTCTTCCTGTCCCTTGACCTCGACCTCTTCTTGGAGGTCTTGAGGTCACGTGATCCTGACCTCCTTCTACCTCCCGACCTAGACCTACCACGTCCACCGGAACTTCTCCTAGGAAAGGGTTTAACAACTTAGAATAAAAAAACAGAAACTGATAACTAGGGCTGGGCGTCGTTCCTGGGGAACGATCGTTATTACACGGGAACGAACAGAACGGAACGAACTATTTAAAAAGTAGGAACACGCCCAGTCCTACTGATAACTCCTCTCAGTTTATATTCCCTATATCTTTGAAAACTATAAACTCTGTTATTTCGAATATTCAAAGTTTGAAATATCAACGGTTTACGCAATTAGGTTACGCAGATGTTAAAAAATTATAGTTTGGGGCAAGTATTTAATTCACATATGGACTGGATGACGATCAAGGATAACAGAAACTAACATATCATCTTGAATTTACAAAAATTGATAATCATTGTCAAAATAAGATCGTAATTGATCACAGTATCAAACTATCATAAAAATAAATCATTGGAATGATCGCAATTGATCTGAAACCATCACAAAAACTTGAAATTGCTAACATTGAGTTTTAAAAAGAATTTGATCAAAAATAATAACTAAAAAGCATTAATACTCAGAAATATTATAGATATAGATAAAGATTATCAATAATGATTGATGATCGTATTTTATGAAAATAAATGATAACAATTGATATTACGAATAGCTAGTTAGCATTAACGAAAATATGATATTTTTTAAAAATAGGAAAAACAAGATGAAGCCAAAAAACTACAAAATTATCATTTTATCTCCGGAAATTGCAAAAAGATAGTTTTTTTTACCTTTTCTTTGCTGGAGATGGAGACCGATATTTCCTTGCTTCGGTCGAACTAAAAAATAAATAAAATGTCTGTTCTATTCATTTTTATTGTAAAAAATCCTAACTGGAAAAAAGTTTTTCTCTTTCTGAAGAAAGCACAACTTCAACGTAGGAAATATATTTAGATGTTCCTTAATTCTAGGACAGATTTGAGCAATATGAAATATGACTGGTTGACTGGCAGAATCGGAACTTTATTCTTCAGTGTAATGCACGTTAGATTATTTTAAATCTTTATTTATGAAAGAACCCTCATAGTAAAAAAAGAAAGCATACAAATTAAGACTTAATATTTTTCTAATCCGAAAAAAAATAAATAAACAAAATGTATGTAGGATTTATTTAAAATTATAGAAAAACAAGTTTTAGTACAGGGTGTCCCACATTATATTAGATCGTCAATGGGTAAAAATTAAGATTTTCGGAGGCCGAATTTAAAGAATTTAAGTCGCGGCTTAAATCCGCCAAAACCCGGTTTAAATTGAGCACCGGCTTAAATCTTGAAACATTTGATACAATTTTAAGTGAAACCAACCATAATTAAGCCGCGGCTTAAATTTAAACCGCCGCTCAAATTCTTTAAATTCGGCCTCTGGACTAATTTAAAGAAGTTTGAATCATTTTGAAAAATTGAAAAAGGCTTACATATAAGTTTTCTAGCAAAAATGCTAGCGTTTTGTTATTATTATTGCTTATTTTGGCGCTAAAGTTTGGAGATAATTTAATATGATATGTGACGTACGTTTCTGATTAATTATTATTTAAACAAAGTTTTGAAACAAACAGCTAAAAAGTATTTTTTTAAGATTTATATTTTTGTTAATAAATACCTGTCTGAACCCCGTCTTCCCTTTCTGCTTGTAATTGCCTTGTTGGAATCCTCACGCACTCTGTCATCCTTCAAACAATGTAATTGTAAATATTGTTGTCGCTAAATTTGTCTTGATTCCCAACGATGACGTTGTTGTTATTGTTGTCATAAAGCGAAAGTGGCGTAAACGTACATTAAACTAAGTTATGAAGTTTTTTGACCTCTAACCGCACCACAAGGTGGAAGATTTTTTTGACGATGTCGTTGAAATTGATGTTGCTGTTTTTGACATTATCGTTGTTGTCTTTGTCGTTAAACGGTTATGATATCATTGTCATTTTCGTTATGCATCGTCATCATAAACAAAATAAAGGCGTAGGAAGTATCAAAATAAAGAAAACTTACTATTCAAAATCATAAAAACACAAAAAACTACAAAAAATAAAACAAAAATTCTCACCTTTGCTGGGCTTAGGTAGTGAGGGATCAGGTTTCTCGCCTAAAATATCAAATATTTCCAGAATTGTGACGTCACAACAGCCTGAAATACAGTGACGTCACAACAGTCTAAACTTATGACGCCACAAGCCCTTAATTACAGTGACATCAGAACAAAACTGAATAATTGGCAACGATTCACAACATCCTGAAATAATGACGTCACAGCAATGTCACAATCTGAAAATGTTTTTGTTTAAAAAGTGATCTAAGTGAGTTATTATGCAAATGTTTTGCGGGGATGATCAAAACTAAGCTTTCAAGTTTGTCCCCTCTTTCCTGCTACTTGTAGTTTGTACCCAAACATAAAAGAAATTCGCCTCCTGAACCCATTAAATTTCTATAAAATTACTTAACAAATAATCCCAACATGATGGGGAGAAAAAAAAAGGTAGAAATGTTTTCCACAAAATATCCTTTTCAGGAAATTTGGTTTTAACCTGAGTTTCCAGAGCCTTTAGTCTGAGAGCATTCTCATCCTCACTCTCATCCTCATCATCATCTTTATCCTAAAGTTGAAAACCAGGGGTGTATATTTTCTTGAAATATCAGCCCCCACCCTCTTTTGGAGTCAGGTGTAAAACCATAAATACTTAAAAGATTTTATTCGCTGAAATAAACTTTAGGGTAAAAATTATGAATAAAGAAGGGGGGGGGATTGGTTTGAAGAAAAAAATGTTTTTTTAATTCTTACCTGTTTTTCCTCCATAGCCTCGAAGTCCAGCTTGTCGTAATCCAAATGCTCAGCCTTGAAAAAGAACCATTTCGAAGCTTGAAATAAGATATTCGATTTAAAAATCGATTTTTTAAATTGTGGTTTCTGTATAAAGGGACTTCTTCCACATTTCCGCAACAATTATTAAAATTGGCACAGAACCGGCAATATCTTTCACATAGCTTTGGGTAAGCCTATATATGGAAGAGGGAACGCAGGTTGGGGGGGGGGGACGCGCCAGTAAGCCCCCTCCCTGGTTACTTCCCTAGCTTTGGGAATGAGCATGTCACTCTATAAATATCGACGTCACTTGAAATTACGTGTACAGTGCCTTGAAATTACCTTTAACGGGCTTTCTCCCCTTGGTTTCCTTTTCCTCTCAGGCGAATCCTCACGTGTCTTTCTTTTCTCATCAGCTGATGCCTCCCTTTTCTTCCGCTCAACCTGCAAATATCAGCTTGCAGAAACCAAACATCGTCTTCCACAGGAAGCGGAAATGCGGGAAAATACAAGGAATTTTAGTTCGTGGGGAGAACAAACTTCCCATTTGACCCCCGAATTAATGCTTTATTATATAAACCCTGGATTTCAATGTTCAACCCCCCCACCCCCGACAAAGAGTGTATTGGAAAGGAAGGGAACAAACTAACAGACACCATTTATTTATTATGACAACCCTAAAACCACGAATGGAGTTAGACATCACGCCCGTAAGCACTTCCTAGCTAAATGATACAAGGTCACGTTTAGGTAAGGGTTGGTATGCTTTCATGGTTCATTGATGTATGACGCCCGGGACTAGGCCATTAGACAGTATAATGACTGATAATATAAAGAAAAAAAAATCATTTAAACTGATGATAACTAAATAAGTGTGCACAAAAAAAATAATGATAAAAAAATGTAATTTCGCTTTAAAATGTACACAATAACTTTTTGTCAATGTGGTCACGCCAATGTCCATTGAGGGCGGTTAAAACTGACCTCTGGATCCTCTCTGAACCTTCTCCTCTCCCTCTTCTCAATCCTGTCCCGGAGATCCTTCTCCTTCTGGTCCTGCTCCTCCTTCTTCTTCATCTCCTCCTGCAAGTACTTCGTTAAATATTTGTTTAACTTAATTTAATTACAAATTTGTTCCATTTCATTCCATAGATGTTTTATTTAATTACGAATTTGTTTAAATTTACTCACAAATTTTATTTTATTCATCACATACACTGTATGTATTTTTTGTTATATTTCATTGCATATTTGATTTTTTTTTCATTTATTCACATATTTGTTTAATCACTTTGCATATCAATTTCATTTCATCGAATATTTGCTTTACTTGATCGCATAATTGTAAAAATGTTTTGTTTTATTTCACATGATTTGATTTGCTTCTTCGCATATTTGTTTCAACTTCATAGCATCTGTTTTATTTAATGTCATATTTGTTTAATTACTTAGCATAACAATTTCATTTCATCGCATATTTGGTTTATTTCGGCGAAAATTTGTTATGTCATAGCATTATTATTTTCCCATAAGTTTGTTAAAATAAAATCTCTACATTTCCATATACAAATAAGATATAAAGAACGTATGGGTGTGCTTCATCTCTTTTCCTCTCCTCCTCCCTTCTCTCCCTCTCCTTCTCTCGTTTCTCCTTCTCTCTTCTAGTTTTCTCGTATTCCGCCATACTCACGGTCCGCCGTTCCGCCTTATAAACAAGACACGTTATTCAAAACAGTTGTAAAACGTCCGCCGTTTCGCTTTGTAATTAAACATGACATGCAGGGTGGCCAAAACTTTTTTGAACAAATCCGTACAAAAATCCGTACATTTTCAGAATAAATCCGTACAATCCGTACAATTTTCGAAAAAAAATCCGTACAATCCGTATATTTTTTTAAACCAATCCGTACATTTTTTTAAAAATCCGTACATTTTTTTTTAAAATCTGTACAATCCGTATATTTTTTTAAACCAATCCGTACATTTTTTTAAAAATCCGTACATTTTTTTTTAAAATCTGTACAATCAGTACAATTTTCGAAAAAAATCCCATTTTTGAAAAAAAAAACATTAAACTCATAACTGGAAAGAT